AACTAACAACAGCGCACTGTCTGTCAACTTGACCGATACATATTGGTAATAATTTGATACCGATATTTACTTTCATTTGAGTCTAGCGGAAGTATCGGCTCGCTATCGTAGAGAGTTTTAATTGAGAGATCGAAATCACCGTGACAGTAGTAGAAATAGTATTTAGTAGTAGTAGTTTATTTTTATCTTCAGCTCACAGACCACACGAGGTCGACGGGTTGTCTTGTAATCATCGTAAGCCAGCCTGCATATGAACTTTAGTTTAAAATAATAATACATTTATATTTTCCCCCAAATTTCCCAATTTTGTACTGGAGTGGTAGGTCACAACGTCACAACTCCATTTTATATTAAACGTTACGTTTGGTTTTAATTTGCTTGTATAATAAAATATTGACTATACATTTGGCGGGCCGGCGGGTCAGTAGGGGATCTGAACCCGGGTGTTCTCTACTAAACTCCGCCCCGAGAATCTGTCCCGCTAACCGGCGTAAAATCCTGTCGTGCGGTCGTCGTGCCGGAGTCGGAGACCGGAGTGGATCCCGGCGATCGTACGCAGGGTGGACTGGGAGCCCTTCCATGCCCTGCGTTGGCCTTTCACGAAATCCGTGGTCGAGGACGCACTATGTTCCGCGCTTCATTGAGGTGTTGCCCCGATCTCACCTCCAACATCCTACCTCTCCTAATCCTACTCTCCGAAAATTGAACATTCATGAAGTTGAAAAAAAAAGAAAAGGGTTTCACAGGCGATTCCCCATTCCACATTTAATGTGAATTTCAGCAATGTCAGGGGCCTACATAGCAACCTTGACGCCGTACACCACCACCTTGAGACGGCGTAGCCTGCCCTGCTTTTTTTAACGGAGACGCAGATATCTGCTCCGGATGATACCTCATACCTTGAATACCCCGGCTACGTATTGGAGCACAACTTCCTGCGTAAAACCGGGGTGTGCGTATTCGTCCGGGCTGATGTCTGTTGTCGCCGTCTTCGGGGCCTCGAACAACGGGACCTGTACCTCTTGTGGCTGCGCGTAGATCACGGGGGCTGTATCCGAATCTACGCGTGCCTGTACAGGTCCTACAGCAGTGATGCAGGTTCAAATCTGTTTGAGCATGTGCAAGAGGGGACTAGCCGCGTGCTTGAGCAGTACCCATCTGCGGAGGTGGTGGTTCTTGGAGACTTTAACGCTCTCCGCCAAGAGTCGTTGGGGTCCAGAACCACTAACCTCCCGGGTCGGACTGCTTACGATTTCGTCTTGGCCTACGGCTTCTCTCAGGTGGTGACACAGCCCACCCGTGTCCCAGATATCGAGGGGCACGAGCCTTCTTTGTTGGACCTTCTGCTGACCACGGATCCGGCCGGATACAGTGTAGTGGTCGACGCTCCGCTTGGATCGTCTGATCACTGCCTTATTCGTGCTGCCGTACCACTCTCTCGTCCTGGTCGTCGAACGATGACCAGGTATCGAAGAGTTCAGCGGTATATGTCAGCAGATTGGGATGGATTGCGTGAATTTTACGCATCCTACCCATTGGGACGGTTCTGCTTTTCCTCTGCTGATCCTGACGTCTGTGCGGACCGTCTTAATGACGTGGTGCTCGAGGGAATGGAATTGTTTATTCCCTCCTCTGAGGTGCCCGTTGGGGGTCGCAGCAGACCCTGGTATAATAATGCCAGCAGGGATGCTGCACACCTCAAGCGGTCCGCATACGTGGCATGGGATAATGCCAGGAGACGTCGGGATCCTAACATCTCAGGGAAAAGGCGGAAATATAACGCCGCTTCCAGGTCCTACAAGAAAGCGAAGTCGCCAAGGCGAAGTCGGAGCACGTTGCTAGAGTTCGCGAGTGATTAAAGAGCTATCCCTCCGGGAGCCGTGCTTTTTGGTCGCTCGCCAAAGCTGCAGAAGGAAACTTTTGCAGGTCTAGTCTCCTACCACTGCGCAAGTCTGATGACACTCTGGCCCACAGCGCGAAAGAGAAGGCTGACCTTCTGATCAAACTCTTCGCCTCGAACTCGACTGTGGACGACGGGGGTGCCACACCACCGAACATCCCCCGGTGTGATAGCTCCCTGCCGGATATCTACTTCACACAGTGTGCAGTCAGGCGGGAGCTCCGACTTCTGGACGTCCATAAGTCGAGTGGGCCGTCCCCGCAGTGGTTCTGAAAACGTGCGCCCCTGAGCTGACATCAGCGCTAACGCGTTTGTATCGCCTCTCTTATTGCACTAACAGGGTTCCGTCTTCACTTTTCTCCTATCCCCAAGAAGGGTGACCGGTCGGACCCATCGAGCTATAGGCCTATCGCGATAACTTCCTTGCTTTCCAAGGTGATGGAGCGAATAATAAATACACAACTCCCGAAGTATTTTGAAGATCGCCAGCTGATCAGTGACCGACATTACGGTTTCCGTCACGGTCGCTCAGCTGGCGATCTTCTTGTATACCTTACTCACAGGTGGGCTGAAGCCTTGGAGAGCAAGGGCGAGGCTCTTGCTGTGAGCCTTGATATCGCGAAGGCCTTCGACAGGATCTGGCATAGGGCACTTCTATCGAAGCTACCATCTTACGGAATCCCTGAGGGCCTCTGCAAGTGAATCGCTAGCTTTTTGGATAGGCGGAGCATCACGGTCGTTGTAGACGGTGACTGTTCTGATACCATGACCATTAACGCTGGCGTTCCACAAGGTTCGGTGCTCTCCCCCACGCTTTTCATCCTGTATATCAATGACATACTCTCTATTGATGGCATGCATTGCTATGCGGATGACAGCACGGGGGATGCGCGATATAACGGCCATCAGAGTCTCTCTCGGAGCGTGGTGCAAGAGAGACGATCAAAACTTGTGTCTGAAGTGAAGAACTCTCTGGGGCGAGTCTCCGAATGGGGTGAATTGAACTTGGTTCAATTCAACCCGATAAAGACACAAGTTTGCGCGTTCGCTGCGAAGAAGGACCCCTTTTGTCATGGCGCCGCAATTCCAAGGAGTATCCCTGCAACCTTCCGAGCGTATCGGGATACTTGGGGTCGACATTTCGAGCGATGTCCAGTTTCGGAGTCATTTGGAAGGCAAAGCCAAGTTGGCGTCCAAAATGCTGGGAGTCCTCAACAGAGCGAAGCGATTCTTCACGTCTGGACAGAGACTTTTGCTTTATAAAGCACAAGTCCGGCCTCGCGTGGAGTACTGCTCCAATCTCTGGGCCGGGGCTCCCAAATACCAGCTTCTTCCATTTGACTCCATACAGAGGAGGGCCGTTCGGATTGTCGATAATCCCATTCTCACGGATCGTTTGGAACCTCTAGGTCTGTGGAGGGACTTCGGTTCCTTCTGTATTTTGTATCGTATGTTCCATGGGGAGTGCTCTGAGGAATTGTTCGAGATGATACCGGCATCTCGTTTTTACCATCGCACCGCCCGCCACCGGAGTAGAGTTCATCCATACTACCTGGAGCCAGTGCGGTCATCCACAGAGCGTTTCCAGAGATCTTTTTTGTCACGTACCATCGGTCTATGGAATGAGCTCCCCTCCACCGTGTTTCCCGAGCGCTATGACATGTCCTTCTTCAAACGAGGCTTGTGGAGAGTATTAAGCGGTAGGCAGCGGCTTGGCTCTGCCCCTGGCATTGCTGAAGTCCATGGGCGACGGTAACCACTCACCATCAGGTGGGCCGTATCCTCGTCCGCTACAAGGGCAATAAAAAAAAACATAATGTATTTATAGAAAACTGTTAAAATGATTACGTGAAATAAAATAGAAAGTCAAGACACATTTCGATGCACTGTGTACACTCCTTTACCTGTGCGACAGTGAAATTAAAACTGTATTTGTCACTGGAAATGAAATCACGGAGCCGACATCCACAACGGCAATATATCATACTTGAAGAAAACTAGTGTGTGAAAAGGCGTGGAGACACCATGTGCTCATTTAAGATAAGGATGTGAGTAAAATAGCTTAGTCTGTTAAATACTTATATATCTTTTTTCTCCCCTACCTATTCGCTAGTAGTCTAGCGGTTATTTCAGCTACCCCGGACGGGTAGCTGAGCTCACAGGCTCGGAACCGTGTGTTCACCCTGTGCTAGAGCACGGGCAAATAATTTGCTAACAAGAGTAGTGTTTCGTAGAATCTACGACCAGATCGGAATCGTCTAACTCTTTATCGAGTTCGACGAGGACGGTGACCAGTGCTTGAGAGGCCTAAAAGGACCGAAAGTGAATCCGGGGGATCCGATATATATCGGGCGATGGCGGCTTTGCGTTGCCCCGTCGCAGTCGCACAAGGTTCAAGTGAAACAAAAGTATACCATTTTATAAGGGGCATAGTTATTTTCTTCAATTATAGCCTTTTTTTTTATTGCTTAGATGAGTGGACGAGCTCACAGCCCACCTGGTGTTAAGTGGTTACTGGAGCCCATAGACATTTACAACGTAAATGCGCCACGCATCTTGAGATACAAGTTCTAAGTTCTCAGTATTGTTACAACGGCTGCCCCACCCTTCAAACCGAAACGCATTACTGCTTCACGGCTGAAATAGGCAGGGAGGTGGTACCTACCCGTGTGGACTCACAAGAGGTCCTACCACCAGTAATAAACGTAGGCATAGTTTAAACTATTTTACCTTTTAATAGAATGAACATCATAAATGCAAGATCAAACTGTAAAATTAATTTTTAGTTAGGCCCACTACCTAATAAATTTATAAATTAATTAATAAGAAATATTTTGTATTTAGTTTTACGAGATTATCTCTAGTTTGTAAAATACCAGTACTCGAAGTATAAATTCGGAGAAAGTTTAAGATAATTTTACAATAAGAAACAAGTGTAATTAGAATTAAAAAGCCAGCAAGAATAAGTCAGGATGCTTGACGGTTGTCAGCCTTGGACAACCGATGGACAGCCTTTCATTTGTGATTTTCTATAAGTGAAAATTTGTCGGCAGTTATATTGTCAAAGAACACCTTACGTATTTATTTCTAGTAAATAACGATGGAACACAATCAATACTCAACTATGTAATAGTACGTTAAACAAACTCCATGTTAACATATACCTTTAGTTTTTGGTATTAAATGGCATTTAACTTTGACGTATGACGTAAATTAAAGTTTGTAAATTTTTACAAAGATTAAAGATCACTTCCTTTTATTTATAACTCTTCATTTTTCTTTTAGTGTTTCTAGGAGTTTTATGTTTTTTTAACCTTAACCATGGATAACATTGTTTTTAACAAATCTGATAGGTTAGTAACCAGTACGTATGCCGATATTTATTACGATGACCTTTTCTGTGAAACTGAAGCACCTTTCGATCCAAACACAAGCAATGTAATAAAAGAACGGCCACATGCACAATGGCAATCACCCAGTGATTTAATTATAGACAAAGTAGATTTAAAGCCGCCCTTAACTTCAAAAATTACGAGAGGCAAGACTCATGAAGGTATAATAGCAATCGGAAATGAGGTACTGCTAAAAGAAAGAGATAAATTTGTGCAAAAAATCAATGATTTGGTGGAAAACAATAATTCTGCTTGGAAGAGAATTCTAGACCATGAATCGGCCTCAATAATAACAAAAATTCAACAAATTTATGATGAAATTCTAGATAGTAAAAATAATATTTTTGCCCATGAAATTACAAAGTTTTATTCAGAATCTCTTCAGGAACTGGAAAATTTTGTTATGTGTGAACTAGAAAACATGAAAATCAGTACTTCTGCTCACATACTAACTAACATGAACATTCAAATAAAACACAAGTTAAACAAAGAAAAACGCATTCTTGAAAACGTCCTACAGAAACGATATATAACTGAAGTAGAAAAGATTAAAAAGTATTATAAATTACTTTTACAAAATGAATTAAAAGAATCTAATAAACATATAAACAAAGCCTTATTTGAGAAAGACGAAGCTCTGAAGGCTTTTTGTAAAGAAGCAGAAGCTGACAATATAACTAGTACTATGTACGTAATGTGTTCCGAAAGAAAAAAATGTAAAATTAGGAAATTTCTTATAAATAATATTCATAGTTCAGAAGTTCAAGAAAAACTTAATAAAATTAAACAAAGGCAAGAAACACTCGAAAATCTAGAAAAAGAAAAATCACACGCCAGAGAAATAAATAAAAACTGGGAAGAAAAAATCAAAAAGATACTTCGACTGTTTCTAAAATTTATTAGTTTTGGATTAAAACTTTTACCTGAACAAACTTCTTTCTTGTTTGACTTTCAGAAAATGGTTGTTTTACAATTAAATGAGATACAAAGAGCGCCTAATAATGCACCATTACTCTTAATTGAAAATGAGGACTTACAAAATGATTTTAAATTCGAGCAAGCTGATGAAAAAGACGTGAACTGTAAAAGGGATCCATTTGTTATAACAGGTGATTTAACTGAACCTACCCCAATACGGTATGGTAGTAGAGAAACTTTACCTTCTGATGTAGAGTTGCCTATAATCAGAATACAAAGGCAATATGTTTATGCCAAAGGCACGCAATTTTCACAAATCAAAAAGTATCTTGATTCTAAAACTTGTAAATGTTTAGAAAATCTACAGAAATCTGAATCAAAAATGAGTTTAGAAAAAATTGACTCAGTGGAAAGTGCAGATGATTCCGTTAAAAGTCAATCATCTAGCGAATTGTTTTTGGTCGATGAAATCAATCGCCTTAAAGATTGCCCTGTAAAGCGATGTAAAGACTGGAGTAAAGGTATTTCTTTCCCAGATTTGGATTCTTACTTAGACTTCACAGACGAAAAATTTGAATTAGTTAAAACTATATTGGGTGATCAAGAAACAGAAATTGGCACCGTTACTGGAGTATTAAATCCAAAGGAAATAGCTACTGCAGAACTGCTTTTTGCTGCTACTAAAGAAAAATATCACACGATTGCAACACAGTATTCGAGCCAAGAGAGTGTGAATGTTTCAGACTTAACATGTGCTTGCATTGACAATTTAACACCCAATATTAACGACGTACATTATTTGAAAGAATCAGCAAGCGAAAGCCTTAATCAAATTCTGGCAAAACGGAAACAGTCGTTACAACGTCTAATGCAAACACATACAAATTTACTAAAAATGTTCACAGATGAATGTTTTGATTTTCAATTTTAATTTTATTTACGTACTTTCATTTAAAAACTTCACACTACACTAATTTCATTGAAGCTATATATAAATGTTTTTTTTTAATTTTAATTTTTGTTGTTTTGTTATCCTTGTTCGAATAATATGTATATGATATAATAATATAACAGCATTAATGTTTTTTTTATGTCCAGTTACTAATGTGCTTTGTTACATTTTGGTTTTATTGCTCTGTTTGTAATTATTAGTGTTGTCTTATACATTTGTTTTCAACACTCTTAACACAGCAGAAAATACAAATTTCTTTTATTTATCATATATTACCGTATATGCACTTTGAGCCGAAACTATTACGTATTTATGAAAATCGATCTGTATATTAACATAGATCACCACATGATTTGGGTCTAAAACTAAAATCCTATGAAAGTAGTGTGAAAATAAATACTTGGTGGGTAAAAAGTGAGGAAATCTTCTCTGGATTTGGTTTAAAAAATCTCATATAATTCCTGTGCTGTGACAAAATATAGCTTTACTAGTGCTCTTTTTATTAACGCGTTATATCAATTTTAAAGCACATTTTGTTGTTGTCTTCGACCTCTTACACGACGTCCTCGTGGTCTAAAGGATAAAACACCTGGTTCACTCGTATCAAACGATGCAAGTCCGCCGGTGTTCGAATTCCGCAGGCGTGTACCAATTTTTTCAATGAAATGCGTACATAACTTTAGTCGTTTTGGGTTGAAATATAATGTCTTTGCAAACACAAAAGTACACAAAGAAAGTTTTTATTTAAGACGAATACAAATATAAAGAAAGAAGGAGAAAGTAACAAGAAATAGATAGTCCAAGCAACACAAGCAGGTACACGAAACAAAAAGCAAAAATTATAAAAGGCGTAGTACAGAAAAGATAACACGGGATGCGCGCTCGCAAGTCAGATTTCGACTGGTGGCGGTGGATCGGTAAAAATACGACCGATGTACTAGCGAAATATATCGCCGCCGCTATACTGCAGTTATCGCCTGACTTTGCGTGTGAATTTAATTTTGTTTAGTGTAAATAATGTTTTGTATGATTGTGTGATAAATGAATGTTTTGATATAAAATAAAGTATGTAGTGTTGTTGTGTAGTGTAATTATAATAAAATATTATAATATAAATAAATACATNGATGTACTAGCGAAATATATCGCCGCCGCTATACTGCAGTTATCGCCTGACTTTGCGTGTGAATTTAATTTTGTTTAGTGTAAATAATGTTTTGTATGATTGTGTGATAAATGAATGTTTTGATATAAAATAAAGTATGTAGTGTTGTTGTGTAGTGTAATTATAATAAAATATTATAATATAAATAAATACATGTGAGTCACCCACATAACAAATGTTCACGATCGACTTCCACGGTCAAGGAGTAAAATTGGTACTTTAGAAAAATTGATACGGGATTCGAACACCGTTCCATCGCTAGATACGATTCCACCGGATGTCTTATCCTTTAGGACACGACGACTTTATCACCAGGACGGCCGTGAGCTCGTCCACCCATCTAAGTAAGAAAACATAATTAGCATTTTAATATTACGGCACTATCCCAATACCTTTTCAGTAGTTTTGATTTCGTCAATCCATCAACACTAAATTTAAAATTAGGCTTAGTATGTTGTGAATATACGAATTTTACTAATAAACCTAATTAAACCTTGAGTATTGGATCAGTGTCTATAATAACTTTTGTAGTAATTCTTCGTGATACAGACTTATTAATATTTTTCACTTCTATCTATTAATCATCTACGGTTATTGAAAAAATTACCCTGTTTATTGTCAAAACAAACATTACGGAACTAAATCAATTTAGAGTAGTTTGAACATTCATAATAATAGAAATTACGCCATTAGGTAATATTATTGCAGGGCGCGAGTACTGTTTCAGGCGTTAAGGTAAATTTACACAACTACCCTTACAAGTTAACTTATTAAATCGTCACAGTCTCATCGTGAGCTCTCCGCCGACGACTCGACTCGAGACTTATGACATTCCTACAAACACGCATTAGACATTAACCGTAACAAATTGTTTTACATTGTCGGTCTTGATTAAACTTTATAGCCCTTAGTTATTTGACTTTCACCTCATTTGCGAAGGTGGGTGACAAGCATGATGCTTACGAATAATTCCGACTATTATCCAGTATTACTTGATCTTCGCTTTTGAAACAATTCCTTATTTTCTTTAGTAATTAGGTTTTTAATAATTTGAAGGGAAGAAATTTGATGGGGCGCCCGATTGTTTTTTAAATTCCTACAAATTGCACAAGTTTTCGAGAATTTATTTTATTGATAGATGTGTCGATAAGCTCACAGTCTAACTCATAGTAATTATTACCAGAACCGATAGATATAACAACGTAAATGACGCCACTTACCTTGGACTCATACTCATGTTGAACCTCATGATTAATAATAATAACACGTATATAGTATAACAAACGTATATATAATTGTTAGTCCATCTTTTAAACGGATCGCATTACTGCTTCACGGCAGAATTAAGGTGTCGACATAAGCGTGCAGTCTCATAATAGGCCCTACCAACACTGAATTTCACTAAATTCTTAAAATACATACTCCCGTGGAAACTCTGAAAGTATACTTGGACTAGATATCTAGTATTATTCAAAATATTAACTTTGTTATTACAAAACAGCAATCTGATAATTTACTAATTTATAATTCTGCTAAACAATGTAAGAATTCTCAGCTTATTGTTGTCATTATGAAATGACACCGGATCCGCAACTCCAATGAAGATAAAGCATTGTAAATTTAAGCACTGGACTGTTCATTTAATTGTAGATAAGTTTATTGTTCATAAAGTTAAGGAACGATGCTGTTCATTGAAATGATTGCGGGGATGTAAATAATAAAAGTTTTGTTTTCTTACAATACTTCTTGTAGTGAGATCGTGCATTTATTTACAGTTGTTAGTTATTAACTTTCACGCATTATACAACAATAATATTAGCTCGTTATCTAAAAAAAATCCAATTCGCGACCGTAACATTTAACATTAACATTTACTGATTACAACATTAACATATAACAATAACATTTATAGCATAGAACATTTGTACGAGACTGTGTGTATTAAAATTAGTTAATAAAATACGGACTTATCATTAATAAGCAACTACTGCGCCCTCGCTCTGTGCTCGTACATACTTTTTTGGTCCTTCGAGCCGGATCTCACATGGTGTGTGATCTCATATTCCGTTGGAGCTAGTTATTAAGCTGAACAGTTGTACAACAACCTGGTTCCGTGAAAGTCGTGTTCAGTCCTCGCGACCGTAACGTTTAACATTAACATTTATTAATTACAACATTAACGTATAACAATACTATTGATAGCATAGAAAAATTTTGTACGTGATTGTGGGTATTAAAGTGAATTAGTAAAATCCAGACTTATAACTAAATAAACAATAACTGCATCCTCGCTCTGGCACACCTCGCGCTTGCACACAATGACTTTAATTTTCTATATACTGAACGAAATTTCGTAGGTCAGTTCCTAATATTTAAATTACTGTGTCAAATAGGAAGAAGGAGTTGGGCATGTCAGTATACAATAAAATGTAGTCAGAGCATGTAGATTGCCACGATGACGTGAAGAGAGAAAATTTGGGAGCGAAAATAAACGTGTATATAAAAATTAAACTTGAGAATTTATAAAAAAAAAAAACTAACTAATACAGTTATTAAGAAAGAGAAAAGGTCGAGTTTGTTCAAAAGGTATTCATGTCAAAATAGCACACATCACCAGAGTCAATAATATAAAGTATCAAATCTTGTACAACCATGGTCTTTGTATTGAAAGGAAGAAAGTTATTGTAGCCATAAAGAGTGCGTAGAGATCTAGTAACCTTTTGACTAAAGTTCAATACCTGGGCCATCCAATAAGCTTAGAATCCATTTATAGACCGAAATTTCTGACTCATGTGCTTTGAGGTATAACTGCCCCATTATTGGTTACGGGTGGAATGGTACCAATTTCTATGCATCCCAATAAACAGTGACAGTCAAACGAAACATACTGGACCAAATGCCTTCAGCTTCTAAGTCCCCATTTACGCTGCGGATCGCTTCAGCCACACAGTCCACACCAGAATTCTTAATGTCCGAGAATAAATATGAAATACAAACAGAAGATTACGTACGGTATTAAAAAGTTCCTCAACGCTTAAGTTCAAGGCTCGAGTTAAATGCAATCAAAACATCTGTTATCTTAACTTCTCGAGACTCCTCTTATTCAAATTTGACTATCGCAGGGCAAAGTTAAACAGTGTTATGCCGAGTTGACGTTTTGCCATCCCATAATAATATTGTGTTAAGCACTTGTTCTAGTGAAAACTGACGTAACTGCACTCTCTGAATAAACTTGCCAACTTTTACTTGTGTTTTCTGTTCGTCTTTAATTCATTTAATTTTTATGAAGCTTAGCCTCGTTATCCAAAAACGTTTAGTTCTCAAGACAAATTTATACGACAAATACATCTGTTGATATTGTTTTTGTATGGCCGTCATTGATTCAATTACATTAATTAGTATAGGTACAGTCGATTTCTAAATATAGAAAAATGTACTCAATAAACATATTTAGATTATAAATAATAAGTGATCAAATGAGGATCTTTATTAGACTAGACATGACGTGTCTTGGGAGAAGCTTATCTCCAACAGTGGACTAAAATATAATAATAAAACTGATGATGATCATTATCCTAGAATAGCACCGTCAATAGCAACTCAAGGACTCAGCAAAGAATAGACAGCATCATTTTCTGAGTATACGAGCGTATTGAGAGCACCAACTGGCAATTACTAGCCGATGCCATGTGGTAGGTGCTACCATCCTGCCTATTTCTGCCGCAAAGTAATCCTGCCTTTCGGTTTGAAGGGGGACTGACTACCGTTGTATTATGCAATCGAGACTACGACCTCATGTCTCAAGTTGGTTGGGGGCATGCGCGTTGTGATGTCTATGCGTTCCGGTATCATTACACTAGAAGGGCCGTGAAGTTATTCAATAATATACGCCATTATTTTTTTTCATTAACAACAATCGTCAACAATAATCTTTGTATGGCTTGCTATGCTTTCATAATGAATGTTAGAAACGTAAATCCTTTCTTAATGGCTGCTCTGCTACGATGCCATGCTACTCATATTTTTTCCAGATTTTTCGGTTCTGTTTTCCTCTATAATGTAGACAAATTAAGTCAGTCGCGCTAAACTCGTAACTAGGAACTACGGCATTATTGATTTAACTGTGCGCTTATTTAGTTGTACTATTTTATTGTTAGTCTATTGCGACTATTCTTGCGAATCAAAAACCAAAAGTTCGTAATCGTAATTAATGATAAATTATTTGACATTTTGTAAATCTACGTGGCTAATTTAGCATTAGTATTACTCGTACATTATTGACTGTTACAAATGGAAGAAAAACATTGGATGAATAAAAAACCACGTAAAATTCCAATAGTGAAACCTTCCAAATATGAAATTACTGAAGCTATTCATACAAACAAAAAATACTGGGATCGTATATTTAAAAATATGCATACGTCCAATGAAACAGTCGTAAGTGATTTTAACTTTTTATCTTCAAAAGAACAGATAGCTAATACTAAGATATCTCTATTAATATCTAGCAGTTGAATGAATATTATTCAATCTTCTTCTTCTTCCAGTGCCTCTTCAATCCTGAAGGTTGGCCGTTAGCTTTCTATATTCGTTTTTATCTGCAGCCAGCCGGAACAGCTGTTCGACAGAGGCAATACCGGTTCACTCCCGGATATTCTATTATTCAATAGCACGCTATAGTACTGTGACTATTTATGTAACAGAATCTAGAATCTTGTGAAATGCCTACGAAACGACATTCGAGTTTGGGTCTTTTCGATTTGGCTTAACGAGTATCACTCGTGGCTAGGATGATCAACTGAGTCTCAGAGGAATCACCAGCGACTTTTCTAGACAGATAGCCAAATGTGTTTTCAATTTTTATAAACAATGATTATTTCCAAACAATAATTTTATTGTAGGTTAATGAAAGCTTGAAACTATCGAAAGCATTGCCAAAGGAATTGTATGAAAGAGTATGTACTACATTAGATATCCCTACCGTAAATCAAATGATGGAGGAAAACGAAAAAATCAAAGGTAAAAAAACAAATTTCAATCTTTCATAGCCAAACTAATCAAACAGGTTTAACCAAATTCGTATCTGTCTATCCATCTATCTATATAACATATTATTTTAACAATTCGAAGTCGTCGTGGCCTAAAGGATAAGACGTCCGGTGCATTCGTATCGAGCGATGCACCGGTGTTCGAATCCCGCAGGCGGGTTTGTTTCACCAATGTTTCTAATGAAATACGTACCTACTTAACAAATGTTTACGATTGACTTCCAAGGTGAAGGAATAACATCGTGTAATAAAAATCAAACCCGTAAAATTATAATTTGCGTAATTACTGGTGGTAGGACCTCTTGTGGGTCTGCACGGGTAGGTACCACCGCCCCGCTTATTTCTGCCGTGAAGCAGTAATGCGTTTCGGCTTAAAGGGTGGGGCAGCCGTTGTGACTATGCTGAGACCTTAGAACTTATATCTCAAGGTGTGCCGCGCATTTACGTAGTAGTCTATGGGCTCCAGTAACCACTTAACACCAGGTTGGCTGTGAGCTCGTCCACACGTCTAAGCAATGAGAAAAAAAAAGTTAATAATGTAATAATGCATCTACTTTTATCCTTTATGGGTTCCTAAAAACTAAAGTTTGGTAAAAATCGTGTTGACAGTCAACTCCACATTTTTTTTCTTTAAAGGTATATTACCGCGTCGTTCAATTAAAGAACCGATGCTGTCAAACAGAAAATGTTTGTTGATAGATCGTGGAATGGATTCTGATACTGATGTTGAATATTGTCCCAGGTTCGTAATTATCTAGAATTGCCAGAACAACTTGGTCACTTATAAGTATTTTTAATGTTATTGTGGATTACATTGTCAGTGTAGTGTGCATTTGTATGTTATGTTGGTTAAAATTCGAACCAATGAGGCAACAACAGTTTATGAAGTCGTCGTGGCCTAAAGGATAAGACGTCCGGTGCATTCGTATGTAACGATGCACCGGTGTTCGAATCCCGCAGACGGGTACCAATTTTTCTAATGAAATACGTACTCAACAAATTGTTCACGATTGGCTTCCACGGTGAAGGAATAACATCGTGTAATAAAAATCAAACCCGTAAAATCATAATTTGCGTAATCACTGGTGGTAGGACCTCTTGGGAGTCCGCACGGGTAGGTACCACCACCCCGCCTATTTTCGCCGTTAAGCAGCAATGCGTTTCGGTTCGAAGGGTGGGGTGGCCGTTGTAACTATACTGAGACCTTAGAACTTATATCTCGAGGTGGGTGGCGCATTTACGTTGTAGACGTCTATGGGCTCCAGTAACCACTTAACACCAGATGGGCTGTGAGCTCGTCCATCCACCTAAGCAATAAAAAAAAAAAAATGTAATTTTGCACTTAGGTCGCCAGTAATGCCATCTATGTTAATTTTAACTAAATAACGAAGCTATGAAATCTATGTGAAAAGCATTCACAAAAAATTAATGTCAAATTCAAATTATAAAAGACAAAAAAGTTTATTTAATCAGAACCTAGTAGTATTTTATAAACCGTTTCCGTTTTGACTTCAGCGATGATGAAGAAACCGAAATCAATATTCACCAAGAGTTATTAAAAAAGCCAATCCGCGAACAAATTACTTGGAACACGCACTATCTACAGCCAGAAAGAGAAGATGAGAAAACCTTAATCAAAAAGGCTGATGACCTTACTGAACGGGTATAAAACCTTTAAAATCATTGTTAAGATAGAAACCAGAAGTTTCAAACAAATTCATTCAAAGTCATTTTGATTTAAAGTAAAATGCATAATATTAGGTTTTGTTTTCTTTTTCTACAGTACCATCTGTCGGCCACACGGTGAAATTTCACCAAGTCTCGCTCTACAAGTTTTCACAACTGATATTAAATGGTAGTTGTGAAATACAGATGTCTCTAGTACACATTTTCTTTTTCAGAAAGTTTTGCTTACAGTTGAACTAACAAATAAATTGAAACTGACAAAAAAAGGTTATAATTTTCGTATATGTTTTTAATGCATAGACGAGTGAACGATCTGACAGCCCACTTGGAGTTAAATGATTACTGCAATCCGTAGACATCAACGAAGTTAATGCCGCCACCCACATAGAGATATGTGTTTTAAGTCTCTCAGTTCTATTGTATATACCTTTTTTTATTACCCGAGCAGGCAGACGAGAATACGGCCCACCTGATGGTAAGTGGTTACCGTCGCTCATGGAGTTCAGAAACGCATTACTGCTTCGGGGCAGAAATAGAAAGGGTACCTACCAATACGGGCTCACAAGATATACTAGCTCCAGAAATTAAGCAAATAAAACTGTATACGAATTTGATTTTTATCATCCGATATTATTCTTTTATCGTGAGAGTCATTCGTGAGCTAAGTACCTACATATTTCATTACAAAAATTGGAACCTGCCTGCAGGAACCGAACAGTGACGCCGTCGCGTCGCTCGGTACGTGTACACCGGGCGTCTTATCTTTATGGCCATGGAGACTACTAGCAATAGGATTATGAGATTTTAGTATTCATCGAAGCTTAGTAGATATGAGTCGACTATTATCAAAGCCAGCAATCTGACTTTTGGACAATGATTGGTAAATCAGAAAAACGAATTATTGACTTTGTATTCCATTGGCAGTCACAAAACTCTTCGGAACAACATCTTAGATAAATAACAGGTTAACTATTAACCTTTATTTAATGCAGGTTTTGAACCGTATTCTTTGAAGGAGACGATTATATTCAAATCAATCTGTATTGACATATCAATAATTTTTTTTTGTCCAAATGCACAGATTGTCACCTTTGATAATAGACGACTCATATAAGCAGTACAACTCAGGAAGGATTTGCTAAGTCAACTCTTTCTATTATTTCTAGATAGCCAACGAATTTTGTGAGTACATGAAACAGCTTGGCGGTGAACAACAATCCAATCTATTTTCTCCTAAAGCGATCAAAGAACTATTTCAGGTGCGTTTCATTAACTTTAATAAATAAATGTCTCTATCTATTTGATAGAAGATAAATAATCGCTAGTACAATTTACAAATACCATTTGACTCCATACAGACGAGGGCCGTTCGGATTGTCGATAATCCCGTTCTCACGGATCGCTTGGAACCTCTGGCTCTGCGGAGGGACTTCGCTTTTCTCTGTATTTTGTACCTACCGTATCCATACCGCTATCTATGGGGAGTGCTCTGAGGAATTGTTTGAGATGATTCCATCATCTCGTTTTTACTATCGCACCGCCCGCCACCGGAGTAGAGTTCATCCATACTACCTGGAGCCACTACGTTCATCGACAGTGCGTTTCCGTTACGTTACGTTTTTTGCCACGTGCTATCCGGCTTTGCAATGAGCTCCCCTCCACGGTGTTTTCCAAGCGCTATGACTTGTCCTTCTTCAAACGAGGCTTGTGGAGAGTACTCAATGGTAGGCAACGACTTGGCTCTGCTCCTGGCATTGCTGAAGTCCACGAGCGACGGTAACCACTCATCATCAGGTGGGCCGTATGCTCGTCTGCCTACAAGGGCAATAAAAAAAAGTTACGCTCCCCACCATATTAAGGTTTTAGAGCAAAAGCGACAGAGATAAATATTGAGAAAAAAAAATTCGTCTTAAAAATAGTAATAAGTACGTCATTATTTCATGTTTTTTGACGACGCTTTCCTTGCTCACTGTAATATTCAGAGATTATATTTGTTTATATTTGTTTTTCTGGTGGGAAGATTGTCAATAAACAGACAATTAAGTGGCTTAAACTCTACTCTCACTGCAACTGTCAGTGATAGTTGTTAAAGATTGCTCCAAAGACTGTCATTCGTTCGCAAGCATTGCGTATCTTTGTCCTGCAAAAAAGACTATACTCACGCAAGGAAGGCCTGAGAACGGTAGGCGCGGAAGATAATTAATTACAACTGGCAATATTATTAATTAATAATCCATGGCATAAACAAATTTAATATAAATCTCTTCCTACTTTTTAATTTCAACACTATTTTTTCGACTTAAAGCAGTAGCGAGCTCACGGTTCACGTAGTCACTATTAAATTTACTTTAATTAAATATGGCTATTATTTTCTGTCACTTGCAAAAATCGTCGAGATTAGGATAATTTATAAGTTTAATTTCACTTTATCTTTTTCTCTATTTCAACACTTTATGTATGTAAGTTATTATTGTTTTCCTTAGATTGAGTTCGATACACATGTCGCTCGAAGCCTTAGAGTTATTTCAAAAGAATTACCTACAATCGATGAAAAGATTGCCGCCGCGGTGGGAAAACCAGAGGTAGGTTTCCCACTTCAATTTTAATCTATTAATACATAGTTGAATATTCACTACTTTCTGCTGTACAGTATGCTTAGTGCGAGTTTTTTAACGTTCTCGATAGCGTAAAAGTTAACTCAAATTTGTATGCAGCTGGAACAGCGCCCCTAGCGGCAAACATAGGCAAACGTTCCAATTCCATGCCAATTTGAGTTAACTTTTAGGCTATCGAGAACTTTAAAACACTTACACTAAGCACACTGTTAACGTGAAGCGTGCTGAGGACGCTTCAAAAACTTAGTTTGGAAATTGAGTTCTTAGAACTCTCAACTTTAACGCGAGAAAGCAAAGTTCATTTCCGATTTTTCTGGAGCATGATACAAAGGACGTCTGGACAAACACATTCTTGATGAATGTAGTTTTAGTTAGAATGAAATTTATTCCTTCGTGTCACATTTTAGCTGAACGAGATGAACTCCTCAGCACTCTTCAAAATATTCAGTACAAAATACAGCGGCGAAAAATCGGCTTTGTTTTGTACCTACTTAAATTAACGACAACGGCATAAGCGACTACAACTCTAAGCTATTCAATTCATCCTCGTCTGTTTTATGCTGTTGTTGTTCGAAGGTTTAATGCAAAGGAAAATTAAAGTTAATCTATATCAATGGCAGTTGATGACCAGCGCAATTCGCAGCTGTCTAGAGGCGGTTACCGGAGCCCATAGACATCAAAATTTGAATGCCGCCGCTCTTAAAACATAGTTGATAAAAAAATCGCTCAACGAGTAAAATTTTAAATCAAATCGAAAGGTGAAAGACTATTTGGTTTAAGCGACATTTCGGTTTATACGCGACATTTTAAGTTTTATTTAGCATTAGCATCAAAAGTTTGATGTTTTTAATTGAACTTCAATCAAGCTTACTCCATTCAAATTTCTCTCCAAAATATTTTTTGTTATGGTATTTTTTCTAAATTTGAAACTTTAAATGGCTCTCCTGTGTAGTTGTAAAAATGTCGTTCAAACCAAATAGCTTTTCACTCCTCGAAATGTTTTCTTTTTTTTAATTTTTTCTTAATGAGATTTCAATTATCAATCTGCATGTGTTCAATTTGACCAGTTTAGTGTTTTTTTTTTAAACACGGCATTAAATTTAAAGCAATAAATAAAAATAAATAAAAAAAATTCTAGAAATCTTGCTATGCTGCATTAGAACGAGAGATATCAAGAGACATAAAGGCAGAAAATTGCTCTAATAAAACAAATGCTTTTGGACAAAGCCTCCCTAGACACGACCAGTATCGAGCTCCGAATAATAATACTAAAAACCAGTGGAGATCAGCACGATATGTACCCAAAGATTTGGTCACACTGAAAGCTGTGTGGGAAGGCATTACTAATTTACGGTAAGAAATATAATTTTAATAAGATTTACACCCTCATTAAAAAAAAAACAAAATGTGTGCAATTCACACGTGGTAGAAGTGAAACCTTCCAAAATTAAAATACAATTATCCTAAACGTCTTAAGTATATGTAAAATTTTGTCATTAGTAAATAATTGTAAGGTAGCGCCCTCTGTGAATTGATATTTTAATGTAACGTATAATCCTAAATTAAAATTCACTACAAGAGCTTTCATACACACGTTAGTATTAAAAAATCTCAAGATGGCGCTGTATTAAATAGTATGTATATTTCTGTCTCACTCTTTGCTGGCTTCATCCTACACATTTTTGTATTTGTGTCTCTTACCTGTCGTTTTTTCCGTTGCATCCGGTTTGAAATCACAACGATTCTAAAGAAGTTGTCACTTCAAAATCGCAATTCCTTTTTATTAAGTGATCCCCTCTTTCTAAGTGATGTTTTTTGCGCCATTACGCCTTATATTTATAGAAAATAAAATAAGCTGAAGCTAACGAATGCTATTGTCCAATTACTTTAAATTGTAATAAATGAAAAGGACGAGCTCGTAGCAACGCGCGTCTCATGAGCTTTAATATGTAATACTTTTTTTTATTTTTTTTATTGGTTAGAGGGTGGGCGAGCTTACGGCCGGGCGTCTTATCCTTTAGACCACGACGACTTTGCCTTACAATTCGTAAATAAATTTCTTTTTTTTTTCCTACCATTCGCTGATAGCGTTATAGATAAGAGGGGTTATTGGGTCGCGCCGCTTTTTTAAAGTAGCGTTTTAACGCTTCCTTTAGACATATCGGTTCTATGTTTAGATAGTCGTGAAAATCGACATTGCTCATGTACCACGGTGCTCTGATGGCCTTCCTGTAGAAAGGGGATTGGATGATCTGGGGAGATTTTATGTGCATGCGGGCTTTGTGAGCAAACACTACATTTGCATAGGTCAGGACGGGAAAATTCATTGCATTTGCTAAGCATGGGTGATGGCTACAAAGAATAAGAACAGCCCCACATTATGCGACAAGACTGTCACAGCTCGCTGATCTCCAGACAGCCTGCTAATTCTAACACAAAATGGCCGTCTCGTCAGTATTTTGTTCAATTGTTACACAAAATGACTTAGGTAAATTGATGATGTTTTGAATCATTTTCATTTCGTGAAGTAAATATTTATAAATATTAGAGTGAATATAAAATAAAACAACTTTTTGCTCATTGCATATTTTATACCTTTAACAAATAAGCAAAATGTGAGGTACTTATTGAAGTGTATTATCTAACGTAATCTAATTATCCTGAAATATTGTTACGCGCTGGGGTTCGGTATAAATAAAACTTCCATCGAAGTACAAACTAAAACTCTATTAAGCACTTAGAACATGGAACACTTTAAAATTCTCAATTCACTTCTACCTCTTTAGGTAATCCGTTCAATGTTTCGCTTCGTGTAGATCCGATTACTATTGTAGTGTAACTATGTATTATTATTATTACTATATTATAAGTTTGACTTTGTTTATAATAATATTAGATGTAGAATTATTATATTTAAAAATTATGTTGATTTTTAATATTGTCTGTTTTTTGGGACAAACATTCTTTGTATATAGTCAGCAATGACGCACCGTGCGCAAGCGCTACGGGTGGCCCCCGCGCGCACTTCNCGTTTGCCGCAAAACATAAAGATATGGCATAGTACAGTGCCATCAGCCCATTTCTAGCATGCTGAATGTTATCGTATTTTGAGTACGTGTTTTTCTTAGACTATTACAATCTATTTTAATTGTTTTGCTGACTCTAAAGTCCGTAACACACTACCGCAGCGCACCTCAAGGAAGGTGCACCGCACTACCGCACCGCACGCAAATTTTAAGCTTATCAAGGGACCGCCTGATAAAAAAAACACCTACAGAACATTTATACGTTAATGAAATTACAAACGTCATTCCTTGTGACTTCCTCTCTAAAATCACTTAATTAATAAATATTTAACGAATTTACAATAGTGTTTTACTCACTGCGGAATAAAACTATTTTATTTAAATAGTTCCGAAGAGATTTTGTCGGTAGCCATTTTCCCGAAATATCTAAACAGAATGTCTAAATATGTTTTGATGACATATTTTAAAGAGGTATTTATGCTAATCATGATCAATAGATTCCGACCGAAAAATTGTGTCCGATTTTTCGGATGAGGGCTCCATAATGAATTTAAATATATAGATAATAGTTTTGAAGCATCGACTTTCTTGAGATCCTATAAAATACGTTTTTATTATTATTTTTATATGTTTTAAGCATGATAAAATATAAAATTTTATATAAGCAATCATATTAAATCGATATCGAAGTCCATAAATAATGTACAACCCAAAACAGACGGCCGAACTGACGTGACAATGACATTTGGTGCGCTCAACATGGCGGATTTTCGGCCTCGTTAGACGGTGACGGAGGTATTTACGTATGTTCATATTTCATTTTATGTACGCACTGAAATACTGTTATATTGTTTTCCTGCGAGTTAAAGTGCTGAGTAAGAACGAGATAGATATATGTTTATGTGTGTGCCTTCAAAATGGGTGCTATTTATCTAAGCAATTGTACGTATCGAACAATATGTCGTGTCCCTACTATATAGGTCTATGAGATTAACACTGAAATATACACTGAAGTAGGAAACCTATGGAAATGAAACGTCAACAAAAAATTCGTGCCACTGTGACGTCATCTGGCCACACAACATGGTGGCTTTAGTGCTGCCCAGAAGATTTTAATGTTAGTAGGTTTTATCGATAAACGTTCTTGGCTTATTTTATTTTAAATATTGTTGAGTATTAATGTATTTGTAGAATTTATACTTTAATAGGAAGTAAGTAAGTAAGTATTGTTATGTACAAAGATGATGTGATTTAGATATTAAGTGAAATCTAAGACGAGTTCGTGCTTCAAATTTTCCAAGTAAACGATATGACGATTTTTAAAATTTGCTACACTGATTTTATAAAGTTGTCGTTTGCCGCAAAACATAAAGATATGGCATAGTACAGTGCCATCAGCCCATTTCTAGCATGCTAAATGTTATCGTATTTTGAGTAGGTGTTTTTCTTAGACTATTACAATATATTTTAATTGTTTTGCTGACTCTAAAGTCCGTAACACACTACCGCAGCGCACCTCAAGGAAGGTACCGCACCGCACGCAAATTTTAAACTTATCAAGAGACCGCCTGATAAAAAAAACACCTACAGAACATTTATTCGTTAATGAAATTACAAACGTCATTCCTTGTGACTTCCTCTCTAAAATCACTTAATTAATAAATATTTAACGAATTTACAATAGTGTTTTACTCACTGCGGAATAAAACTATTTTATTTAAATAGTTCCGAAGAGATTTTGTCGGTAGCCTAAATAGATTTTTTAGATATTTCGGTCCCGAAATATCTAAACAGAATGTCTAAATATGTTTTGGTGACATATTTTAAAGAGGTATTTATGATTAGTGTCATGATGAATAGATTCCGACCGAAAAATGGTGTCCGATATTTCGGATTCAAAAATATTAAGTGTATAATCTGTTTCGGATGAGGGCTCCATAATGAATTCAAATATATATAGATAATAGTTTTGGGGCATCGACTTTCTTGAGATCCTATAAAATATGTTTTAATTATTATTTTTGTATGTTTTAAGCATGATAAAATTAGAAATTTTATATAAGCAATCATATTAAATCGATATCAAAGTCAATAAATAATGTACAACCCAAAACAGACGGCCGAACTGACGTGACAATGACATTTGGCGCGCTAAACATGGCGGATTTTCGGCCTCATTAGACGGAGACGGAGATATTTACGTATATTCATGTTTCATTTTATGTACGCACTGAAATACTGTTATATTGTTTTCCTGCGAGTTAAAGTGCTGAGTAAGAACGAGATAGATATATGTTTATGTGTGTGCCTTCAAAATGGGTGCTATTTATATAAGCAATTGTACGTATAGAACAATATGTCGTGTCCCTACTATATAGGTCTATGCTTAAACTCTACTCTCACTGCAACTGTCAGTGATAGTTGTTAAAGATTGCTCCAAAGACTGTCAATCGTTCGCAAGCATTGCGTATCTTTGTCCTGCAAAAAAGACTATACTCACGCAAGGAAGGCTTGCGAATGGTAGGCGCGGAAGATAATTACCACTGGCAATATTAATAATTAATAATCCATGGCATAAACAAATTTAATATAAATCTCTTCCTACTTTTTAATTTCAACACTATTTTTTCGGCTTAAAGTAGTAATGAGCTCACAGTTCTCGTAATCACTATTAAATTTACTTTAATTAAATGTGGCTAATATTTTCTGTCACTTGCAAAAATCTTCAGAGATCAGGTTAATTTATAAGTTTCATTTCACTTTATCTTTTTCACCATTACAACACTTTATGTAAGTAAGTTATTATTGTTTTCCTTAGATTGAGTTCGATACACATGTCGCTCGAAGCCTTAGAGTTATTTCAAAAGAATTACCTACAATCGATGAAAAGATTGCCGTCGCGGTGGGAAAACCAGAGGTAGGTTTCCCATTTCAATTGCAATGTATTAATACATAGTTTAATATTCACTACTTTCTATTGTACAGTATGCTTAGTGCGAGTTTTTTAACGTTCTCGATAGCGTAAAAGTTAACTCAAATTTGTATGCAGCTGGAACAGCGCCCTTAGCGGAAAACGTACGCAAACGTTCCAACTCCATACAAATTTGAATTAACTTTTACGCTATCGAGAACTTTAAAAAACTCGCACTAAGCACACTGGCAACGTGTTGCTATCTACTGTTAACGTGATGCGTGCTGAGGACACTTCAAAAACTTAGTCTGGAAATTGAGTTCTTAATTCAATTCAAAATCATTTATTTCAACTTAGATGTCAGTATGACACACTTGTTGAATGTCAAAATACAAATAACAATGTTAACTCTACCACCGGTTCCAAAAAAAGCCACGGTCCTGAGAAGAACCGGCGAAACAAACTCAGCGGGCTTTTTTTTTTGTTTTTTCTCAAATATTTTCTTTTTTTTAAATAAATAGAAATATTCACAATAAAAGAACTCTCAACTCTAAATTCGAAAAAACAGAGTTCATTTCCGCGTTTTCTGGAACATGATACAAAGGACGTCTGGACAAACACATTCTTGACGAATGTAGTTTTAGTTAGAATGAAATTTATTCCTTCGTGTCACATTTTAGCTGAACGAGATGAACTCCTCAGCACTCTTCAAAATATTCAGTACAAAATACAGCGGCGAAAAAGCGACTTTATTTTGTACCTACTTAAATTAGCGACAACGGCATAAGCGACTACAACTCTAAGCTATTCAATTCATCCTCGTCTGTTTTATGCTTCAATCAACAATAGTAATAGTTACTATTGTTGATCGAAGGTTTTATGCAAAGGAAAATTAAAGTTAATCTATATCAATGGCAGTTGATGACCAGTGCAATTCGCAGCTGTCTAGAGGCGGTTACCGGAGCCCATAGACATCAAAATTTGAATGCCGCCGCTCTTAAAACATAGTTGATAAAAAAATCGCTCAACGAGTAAAATTTTAAATCAAATCGAAAGGTGAAAGACTATTTGGTTTAAGCGACATTTCGGTTTATACGCGACATTTTAAGTTTTATTTAGCATTAGCATCAAAAGTTTGATGTTTTTAATTGAACTTCAATCAAGCTTACTCCATTCAAATTTCTCTCCAAAATATTTTTTGTAATAGTATTTTTTCTAAATTTTAAACTTGAAATGGCTCTCCTGTGTAGTTGTAAAAATGTCGTTCAAACCAAATAGGTTTTCACTCCTCGAAATGTTTTCTTTTTTTAAATTTTTTCTTAATGAGATTTCAATTATCAATCTGCATGTGTTCAATTTAACCAGTTTAGTGTTTTTTTTAAACACGGCATTAAATTTAAAGCAATTAATAAAAAAAATAATAAAAAATTCTAGAAATCTTGCTATTCTGCATTAGAACGAGAGATATCAAGAGACATAAAGGCAGAAAATTGCTCTAATAAAACAATTGCTTTTGGACAAAGCCTCCCTAGACACGACCAGTATCGGGCTCCGAAGAATAATACTAAAAATCAGTGGAGATCAGCACGATATGTACCCAAAGATTTGGTCACACTGAAAGCTGTGTGGGAAGGCATTACTAATTTGCGGTAAGAAATATAATTTTATTAAGACTCACACCCTCATTAAAAAATCACAATTCCTTTAAGTGATCCACTCTCTCTAAGTGATGTTTTTTGCGCCATTACGCCTTATATTTATAGAAAATAAAATAAAGCAAGCTGAAGCTAACGAATGCGACAAGACTGTCACAGCTCGCTGACCTCCAGACAGCCTGCTAATTCTAACACGAAATGGCCGTCTCGTCAGTATTTTGTTCAATTGTTACACAAAATGACTTAGGTAAATTGATGATGTTTTGAATCATTTTCATTTCGTCAAGTAAATATTTATAAATATTAGAGTGAATATAAAATAAAACAACTTTTTGCTCATTGCATATTTTATACCTTTAACAAATAAGCAAAATGTGAGGTACTTATTGAAGTACTTATTATCTAACGTAATATAATTATCCTGAAATATTGTTACGCGCTGGGGTTCGGTATAAATAAAACTTCCATCGAAGTACAAACTAAATCTCTATTAAACACTTAGATCCGATTACTATCTGCCTTCGTGTCATCTCTGCAACGCTTTTATAGTCGATACAACAACCCTACATTTATCGAGAAAATTCTCGATAAAACCAGTCGTTTCGATTTGCATTTCCGCTATTTGATAATAAATGGCGTTGCACTTCTCGAGCGTTCTCGATTTTACTAGTTCTTTTGATATTTGTTTCTCCTATTCGACGATAGATGGCGTTACTTTTACCGGCGCAACAATACGAATTGTACGAGATTCTATTGATATACACACATAATAAATACCTGAACAGGCACATACTAAGACTTTTTCTGTCATCCGAAATACTATTATTTGTTATTATATTCATTAATTTAAATATAATACTTATGTCAATACAAGTATGTCTGAATCTGAGTTTTGTATTATAAAAGAAAATTTTGCATTCTTATCTGATTAATTTTGGACTTATATTCCTACATTAAACAGACATTAAACAGACAGAGTATTACGGTGTTAAAACAGCATAATGTAAATATTAGCAAATTATTAGAAACTGTTATTAAAAAAAAAATTAAATAACTACGCACATATTATTTGCAAATGTATTATTTGCATTTGTATAGGATAATTTTACAATTTTATTTCGTAAGGCTATTAAAATAAATCTAGTTAGCCAATGGCGTTTATTATTAAGGATGTAAGGAACCAGTTCCAAAAGCCGAAGTAGATTATTTTTAATTGAATGAGGGAATGAATAAATGAATAGAGGAAAAAAAAAGCAATAAGTGGACGATGTTGGTTTTCGTTTTCAGTAAGGGTTCCAATTCTTTATACTGTTTGTAAGATCATAGAAATTATTAATGATTTAAAATAACTCAACACATTTCTGGAACCTAATAAGATACACTGACAACAGCTTTAAATGACTCTGAGTACAAATTAATTGATTGATCTAAACGGGTAGATACCACCACCCTGCCTATTTCTGCCGTGAAGCAGTAATGCGTTTCGGTTTGAAGGGTAGGGCAGCCGTTGTAACTATACTTTACTGGTGGTAGGACCTCTTATGAGTCCACACGTGTAGGTACCACCACCCTGCCTATTTCTGCCGTGAAGCAGTAATGCGTTTCGGTTTGAAGGGTAGGGCAGCCGTTGTAACTATACTTGAGACCTTAGAACTTATATCTCAGGGTGGGTGGCGCATTTACGTTGTAGATGTCTATGGGCTCCAGTAACCACTTAAGACCAGGTGGGCTGTGAGTTCGTCCACCCAACTAAGCAATAAAAAAAAATTAAGATATACCAATTTTGTATATACAGGAGCGTCAGAGAGTATTGTAGATGGATGATTGATCACCCAGAGCATAGACGTCCTCCATATTTAAATAGCCTCGGAATGTTCGATCCAGCCGTGCTTGAAGCAAAAATGTCTTTCCAAAATCAGTATCATGAAGCCCCAACCCAAAAACCGCTTTCAATTGAACCAGAATCCGTGGAACACATTCGAAGGAGACTCTCAGAATTAGCTGAAACTAATTTGGGTCAAGCTGAAGCCAAATAAACAAATTAAATATGAAATAAATAAAAGTTTCGATTTCATAAATGAGCATTGTGTTTCAGTGAACTTCCCAAAAAAATTTATACTTATTTCATTTACGTAAAACACGCATTTGTTTAATAAATTTAGAAATATAATTTATATTATTAGAATATAATCTATGAAGAATCGTATTTTTGGTGTTTTATTACTTATATCTTATCATAAACATATATATTACAATTCATAAAAATTTAATAATATGCATATTATTCATATCATGAATGTCTGGAAATGCTTGATTGAAGCCTAAGGAATTGAATAGTTTTCTCTTTCTTGTTTATTTCTTCTTAATATTTTTATATTCTGTAACATGAAACTTAAATATTGAATTAGTATAGCTTGTGTTATATCATACTATATGCACATTTAGATAAAGGCATTCCTGCTTCATTGTGAGAACACGTGTTTGTTACAATAATTATCTCAGAGAGATAAGCATCGAGACATAAGTTTACTACAAAGATAACGTTCAAGTTTTTGCGATATATAACATGAACACTGTTCTGAATATTACTCAATTAAATTTGATACTATAACAAGTGGCAATACATAAATCACAAAAAAAAAAAACATGTGTACTCATCAGAGTGATGGTGATATTAACGTTGTCTTTGACAGTGTTTTGAACCAGGAAGTGGGACAATTCGGAAAGTTTCAAGTGCTCAACTTGGCGCTCTTAGCTCTGCCTGCTATTTTTTGCGCGTTCATGGCTGGGGACTACGTATTCACTGCAGGCCGCTTGCCTTATCGCTGTCACGTTCCGCAATGCGATGGAGCATATCCGGAATATGCCCCAGATTGGATATTCAACGCGATCCCAAACAATAACAATGGATTTGATAGCTGCAATCGCTATGCAAACTCAACTGATAACGTTGGTGTTGATTTGTCTCCTAATGCTGAAGACGTCTGCCCTGTTTATTTGTTTGACAGAAGCACGATTATACCTTGCGATAACTACGTACACGAGCGGACAAATACCGTTGTCTATGATTTTCATTTGGAATGTAAAGAGTGGCTAAGGACATTACCCGGTACCTTAAATAGTTTGGGAGGAATGATCGCTTTGATATTAGCAGGATTCGTCTCGGATCGCTTCGGACGAAGAATGTCTATTGTTATTTTCTCCTTTAATATAGCCTTGGTCGGCTTGGTGAGGTCGTTCTCGATAAATTATGCCATGTATGTCACTTTACAGTTTTTGCAGACTGCTATCGGCGGAGGAGCATACAGCGCTGCGTATATTTTGGCAGCAGAGATTGTCGGTACTGAGCACCGTGTCAAAACCAGTGCTACAATGTCAAGTATGTTTGCTACTGGTCAAGTAATATTAGGGCTCCTTGCCTGGGCTTTCCCCGAGTGGCGTACACTCAGTCTGGTGCTCTACATCCCGGTCTTCATTATACTCTCTTACCACTGGATACTCTCAGAGAGTCATCGTTGGCTTTTATCGAAAAACGAACAAGATAAAGCAAAGGCTGCCTTAATACGAGCAGCTGGATTAAATGGAAAGCAAATCTCTGGAAAATCGATGAAATATCTCCTCACCGCCATACCACGACAAATGGAAACTAATAAAGATACGCACAAAAATAATCTGTTCCTTCGCGTTATCAAATCACCCGTTATGTTACGTAGATGTTGTACAACGCCTTTTTTGTGGATTACCACTGTTTTAATATATTACGGTTTATCTATAAATTCCGTGAATTTATCTGGCAATATGTATGTCAATTATATAGCAACAGCCGCTGTCGAAATTCCCGGATATGTGATTGCTGTTATGGTCTTAGATAGGGTTGGCAGAAGAATAACATTGTTCGCAGGTTTTACAATCTGCGCTGTGTGCAACGCTGCTTTCGCTTTTACCCCTATAAACGTGTATCACGTTTCGCTGGGTTTATTTTTAACAGGAAAATTTTGCATAGGCTTAGTGATGACCTCGTTGTATTTGTACACTGCGGAATTGTATCCGACGAGATATCGACATTCGTTCTTAGGATTCTCGTCAATGATAGGACGAATAGGTTCAATCGTGGCACCGTTGACGCCTCCACTCATGGCCTATTGGGTTGGGATACCGTCAATGATGTTTGCTGTGATGGCTTTTGTATCTGGTTTATTGGTACTTACACAACCCGAAACTCGAGGCTTAAAAGTGCCAGACACATTTGAAGACGCTGAAAATATAGGTAAAAATAATACGTCAATTTATCAATGATTTTGTTGTTATTTTTAACTAATAAACGAGTGAAGAAGAAGTATTAAAAATTATTACATATTATGTATTAATTATGTAATTAATTTATATCAAGTACAAAAATAAACTACTATTTAGAACATGTTCATGGATATGATTTTTTTCAAAAATTTAGATATTATGATACAGCGCCCTCTCGTGGTTTTTATAAACACTTCTTGATTTCGCGTTTTTGTTTTCACTCTGTTCCAAGAAGTGAATTTTGTTATTGCTATGATAATTACGGTAGGTGGCGCTGTAGCACACCCTAGGCTTAGGTTAGCCATTGAAGATATTATTACACTTTTCTAGGGCACTAAGCATGACCGCAATAATATTAATTAGATTTTGCACTAAAGAGCAAAGCACCATGGAATATTTTGTAACAATAAAATGTTTGTTTTTCCTGTCACAATGCAATGATATTATTAATAAAATTATGATGATGAACCTAGACTTTCTTTAAGAATCAAAATAAAACTTACAATAATATACATGATTACACTGGAAGAAAAGTTTATACCATAAACAAATAAATTACTTATAAATTACTTTATCATGACACTGAAGTTGGTAGCATTTTTGTAGCGGAGCTGCAGTCGACGGTATATATACATAGATGGCGCTAGTCGCCAGTTTTAAACCCAAATGATTCTTAAATTTATTTCTGCCAACGGACGGATTACCATGACCAGTTCAATGTTATAAACTACAAAGAATTTTTTGCCTCGACCATAGATCACATTGAGTATGGACTTCATAGATAATACACATAAATTAGTATGTACTTGAGCCTTATAACAATGAGGCTATTCAAGATTACCGCCATGGAGTTGGAAAACACACTCAAATTCTTATTATTAAAAACAAAAAACGAACTAAACTCTAAATTGAATTCAGAGATCGATAAAGCCAGAAGAGGCAAGATTCTACGACAATTGTAACACTATTATTTGTTATTTGAAATTTTACTGCTCAAGTTTTCCCTTGAACTGTTTAAATAAATAATTATAATTATACGTAGGTACATAGGTCAATAATGAATAGATATAGGTATATCTATTAATTATTGACTTTCTATTTGTGTCAATACATAAATTCATTTTATGTGAATGTCTTTACAATACGGAATTATAAACATGTATTAAAAGTGAACTAATTCATTGCGATAAAAGCAAACATAGTAGGTATGTAGTAATCGAATGTTAATCCATTCTTTAATGTTAATTAATAAAAAAATAACATTTTTTTATTTTATTAAGCTCATAAAGTTTATTAGTTATCTGATCGCAGTGATACCTAACAAGTCCAACTGTGAATCCAAACTATCACCACCTACTCAATCTCCAAAAAAGATATCCTAATAACCGGGCTAGTCGTTTCGAAAAAGTTAAATTACATGTACAAAATAATCATAAATATAAAGATATAGTGATTAAGTTCTCTTTGATTTAATATTTAGAAGAAACCACAACTGACAACAGAACTTCAATTTATGAAGGAAATAATTTGCATTCCGATTAATTCTGACAGATGTAATATAATATTTTTATATAAAATCGATATATTTAGTATCAGCAATGCCTTGTGGTAAGCGTCCTCTTGTGAAAGCATGGGACAAACCGAAAAAATTAAGAGTTGTAATTCCCTCACGCTACGAACAAAATGAAGCGTCAGTTAAACAACACTGGAAAAACGTTATAAAATCTCTAGAACTGAGCTACAAAGATGATCAGGTAAGAGATGAGTGTGGTCCATATCTACAAACTAATGTGGTTATCTTATACCTTTTTTTTTTTTTTTTATTGCCTTTGTAGGCAGACTGGCATACGGCCCACCTGATGGTGAGTGGTTACCGTCGCCCATGGACTTCAGCAATGCCAGGGGCAGAGCCAAGCCGCTGCCTACCGCTTAATACTCTCCACAAGCCTCGTTTGAAGAAGGACATGTCATAGCGCTCGGGAAACACCGAGGAGGGGAGCTCATTCCATAGCCGGATGGTAAGTGGCAAAAAAGATCTCTGNTCACTTATAATTCTTCGTTTTATACAATTATTCTTGTAATACATTCGCACGTATACCTAATTATGCGTAATATTAAGAGTATAGTGACAATTTTGATTAAGGGCTCTCAACTGGCGTATCTTTCTCCGTGGGGGTGTGGTGTGGTGAATGGTTTTTCACACACAGATTAACAACGGGAGACGTCCGGAAAAAAAGAAAGACAGGCTGTCGGATTGAGGAAAAAATGTCATGAGTAAAAATTTGTGTTTTACGTTTTTAAAAGGTTCAAAGGATAAAAACCAATTGATTGTTAATGTATACGATTTTAAGGTGCGTGTGGAATAAATAAGTGCTTCCTATACTGCAGTTTGAGTTTAATCCGCAACGACGACAGTTGACAACATATTTCCTAAACATGTATTAAAAGTGCACTAATTCATTTCGATATAAGTAAACATTAGTATGTAGCGTAAGCGAATATTTATTGTACTTCAACCCATTCTTTTATGCAAATCAATAAAAAAAATTACATTTTTTTATTTTATTAATCTTATAAAGTTTATTAGTTATCTGATCGCAGTGATTCCTACCAACTCCAAATGTGAATCCAAACTATCACCACCTATGTACTTAATCTCCAAAAAATATATCCTAATAACCGATCTAGTCGTTTTGAACGAGTTCAATTACATGTACAAAATAATCATAAATATAAAGATATAGTGGTTAAGTTCTCTTTGATTTAATATTTAGAAGAAACAACAACTGACAACAGAACTTCAATTTATGAAGGAAATAATTTGCATTCCGATTAATTTTTACGGAAGTAATATAATATTTTTATAAAAAATCGATATATTTGGTATTAGCAATGCCTTGTGGTAAGCGTCCTCTTGTGAAAGCATGGGAAAAACCGAAAAAATTAAGAGTTGTAATTCCCTCACGCTACGAACAAAATGAAGCGTCAGTTAAACAACACTGGAAAAACGTTATAAAATCTCTAGAGCTGAGCTACAAAGATGATCAGGTAAGAGATGAGTGTGGTCCATAGCTACAAACTAATATATTATGGTCATTATGCTGAAGTGTCAATTATGACATAATATTAATAAAGTATCACAAAGTTCAGAGATTCTTATATTATGATAGCACAATAACTCGAATGGGCATATTAATTGAGACGTGGACCTTAAATCTCAAGGAGGATGCCGACATTCATGTTGTGACATCTATGAGTTCCAATAACCGCTTAACAAGTCGTCGTAGCCTAAAGGATAAGACGTTCGGTGCATTCGTATCTTGCGATGCATCGGTGTTCGAATCCCGGCGGCGGGTACCAATTTTTCTAATGAAATACGTACTTAACAAATGTTCACGATCGACTTCCACGGTGAAGGAATAACATCGTGTAATAAAAATCAAACCCGCAAAATTATAATTTGCGTAATTACTGGTGGTAGGACCTCTTGTGAGTCTGCGCGGTTAGGTACCACCACCCTGCCTGTTTCTGCCGTGAAGCAGTAGTGCGCTTCGGTTTGAAGTGTGGGGCAGTCGCTGTAACTATACTTGAGACCTTAGAACTTATATCTCAAGGTGCGTGGCGGCATCTGTGTTATAGATGACTATGGGCGCCGGTAGCCACTTAACATCAAGTGGGGCGTAAGCTCGCCCACCCATCTAAGCAATAAAAAAATTAAATAACACCTGGTCGGCGGTGAGATTATTTACCTTCGTATGCAAAAAAGACAATGTTTTTCGATTTTTATAATAAAACTAGCGACCCGCCCTCGCTTCGCTTCGAAAACATTAAAACAGACATGAAACCAAAAAAAAAAAAAAAAAAAAGTAGCCTATGTTCATCAGGGACAATGTCGGCTTCTAATGGAAAAAGAATTTTTCAAATCGGTCCAGTAGTTTCGGAGCCTATTCGAAACAAACAAACAAACAAATCTTTCCTCTTTATAATATTAGTATAGATATAGATAGAATAATATTTGGTTCACAAATTCCCTTTTTTCATAGTTCTGGGAGTCTCAAAGTGAAGTGGTACGTCAACTTGTTGGTCCAGTAATATTCGAGAGAATTTCAAAAATCTTCAACTTGCCAATGGAAAAGGTACATTACGAACCGAAATCTGAAACCGCTTCGATCGTGCCATCCGAAGAGTATTACAAGTCGCGTTCTGGTGACGATGTAATTTAATTGTTTATTTATTATATTTATTTCTTTTATAGGTTTTATGAAATAAGTGACAACACAAATAAGGCAAATTAGACGGAGCATTTAAAAATTAGACTAGCATTCTGATGTGTTGGTATTATTCTGTACAATACACATACTAAATTCATAATATTTTTCTTTTTCTCTGATAAACGTGTTATGATTATGTATGTATGATGATTTGTGTATAGATATACATAATAAGATGTGTAAACTTATACGACGGAGAGGCTGGTTCCATGGTGTTTTTAAAATGATGCCATTCTCTTTATCACTATCATTGCCTCCGTAGTGACAGTAATTAAGACTCGCTTTTCCAATGAATTCCATTTATTACATTCAAGTGTACAACGATCAAAACGGAATGTCTTGTGCGACAATAGTCACTCACTCGTATTTGTAGCAGAACACTGGGGTCATTTGTTCATAAATTTTCTAGAATGCCGTCATAAACAATTCGCCTTTTCGCATTAAAAGTGTACAATTTCCAAAAATATTCGAAATTGAGTTAATATGCGTAAACGTTTGGTATATACCACCATCACCATTTGGTATTTTTCTTATTAATACTGTCAAAAGAGCGTAGTTTAGTTTGTTTTTATTTATTAGTTTACCTATGTTTTGACTACATACTATTAACAAAATTAATACATAATTTTATCTTACTTTATAAGACAGATAATATAAATCCTATCAGCCCATGGACGTCCACTGCTGGACATAGGCCTCCCCCAAGCCTCGCCACAAAGACCGGTCCTGCGCTGCCTGCATCCAGCGGATCCCCGCGAACCTCAATAGGTCGTCGGCCCACCTTGTGGGATGCCTACCCACGCTACGTCTTCCAGTACGCGGTCGCCACTCAAGAACTTTCTGGCCCCAACGGCCATCCGTTCTGCGAGCAATGTGTCCTACCCACTGCCACTTCAATGTCGCAATATAATATAATATAAAATAATATAAATAGAAAAAATATATATTTCAAAGATGATTAATATTAAAAATATCACATGTTAAACCTTTAAACCACTGTCCTGTAAAGTTAGTACGTTTTGAGATTATACAGTTTTAATGCGAGAAGCCGAATTGTTGAAATGCGTCGGGCTTATAACAGTTATCCAACAATTTTAGCATTGAGGACACAGCTTCAGATTTCTTAAGGGGTCTTAAGTGAAACTTAAATAAATAAATAAATATTTCCTAACAATCATGCCACGTTAACTGGTCCCGTGCTAAGTTCGTAAAGAACTTGTGTTACAGGTACCAGATAACGGAAATAAATGTAATATTTTTATTATACACATACATATATTTAATATACATCCATAACCCTGGAAAAGACATTTTTATATTTATCATACAAATATCCACCCTTGGCGGGATACGAACCCGCGACCCCCTTGTGTAGTGACCATGTCACTTACCACTACACCAGACGGCCGTTCAACTAACTCTAACCATCTTAGTTGACTAAATATAACAGGATTGCGCCGATATATTATTGTTATGATATAATAATTGATATATAATCTATATATATAAAAATGAATCGCTCTGTTCGTTGGTCTCGCTAAAACTTTAGAACGGCTGGACCGATTTGGATAATTTTGGTCTTTAATTATTCGTGGAAGTCCATAGAAGGTTTAAAAGGTGAATAAATATGAAAATGCTCGAAATTGTATAAAAACAAACAATTTTGTTTTTCCTTTGATGTGTCCCCCGTCGGACGGATTCCTTTTGTTTGTTTTAAGTTTATTTTATACAAAAGTTTAGGTATTTTATTTTTCGATTGAGACGCTACGATGTTTGTCGGGTCAGCTGGTTTTATTATAAATTTTTTTAATAGATTCAAATTCGCGACACGTATTCTATGGCTGACTATGACTCGTTCATTGACCAAGAATCAAACGAGGTGCACGAGGAACAGTCGGAACAATGGAGCGATTCATCACCCTTAACAAGTTCTGAACTAGGAAAGGTTTCACGAATGAAATCCTTACAAACAGCACGTTCGAAATCAGTCATAGCATCAAAAACGTTCTCAAAATCGATATCATTTTCGAAAGTTTATTCAAGGAATACAATAAGATCGCAAACAAGCAAAATGAAGAATTACAAATCGGAAATAACACTGTTTGATGAACAAGCGAACTCCGAAGACGACATAGAAGTTCATCCCAGCATTAAGAGGTAAATTTAATTGGAATTCGAATAAAATATTATTTTCCTGTACATTATGCTTTTCGCCAAGAAGATTGTAGCTTTACTTTAATATAAATATGGATTTTATTAATGTCATTTTGGTCTTGAGGTAATACGTAGCGAAGTAATGGTCCTGAGAATGTTATGCTCGATTTTGAGGGATTTCTATTCAGTACAATATTATGTAGGTAATATTTGATTATATATGTTAATATTATAGTTATGTTTTACTATAATGGGTCAGCGATTAGTGATAAATCCATTAATATTGTTTTTTTTTTTAAATTAGACTTAATGTCCTTTTTTTGAATTAATGACATAGGCCAGGGCAGTACAGGAGAAAGAAAAATCCTCATTTTGAAATGCTTTACTGCAACGAATCGGAAACTGACATGATCAAATGGAATTCTAAATATAAACAAAGAGCATTTGAAGTTTCCGCTTCTGATGAATTTAGCAAAAAGGCTGAAATTTTGACTAAGAAAGTAAGTAGATTATACAATTACACAATCATATTTTTTAATAGTATGGTACATAGGTATCAGATTTTGCATTTTTTTCGATCATCGACTCGAATCGGCTTATTTCATTCAATTGCGACACATTATTTAGCATTTAGATGTAATTCTCATTAAACTGTCCAACAATTTCACTCTCTTGGTTATTACAGCGTAGGATTTGTATTAATTCTGATGGACCCTTAGACCGTATAGCTTAAAAAAATGGTAGGCTGATAATACGTAATGCAGATAGGCAGTGAGGAAATTATTTTGAGCACATTTTTATTTTATTTCTCTAAATACTCTTGGAGACTAAATAAATTGATTGAAATGTAATTTTTCTTATAGATCTCAAAGGAATTCTACGACTGGTGGGTAAGTTTGGGTAACGTGGAATTCAAATCGGAGATCAAACGGCCAGAGGACATTGAAGACTTATTCCAAGTAATAAAATATTATATGGCTAATTCGACGGAGCAATTTCGAACTTTGCGATAGTATTAAATTTGATTAATAATATAGGTCTGGTTTGACGAGCACGCGTCCCGTGGCCTCGTTTTACATCCCAAGATTTTGCCGTGTGTTCTAAAATCAATTTCTGAAAAAGTCGGAGCACTAAAGGTGAGTTATTTTCGTTTCTTCTTGATGTCAATTTCATTTATTTCCACATAATATATGTAATCAAAAGTATTTAATTATATCGGAAGACTGAATATACTAGAAAATACGGGAAGCTTGAGACGAATTGGCGAAAAAATAACTCCGATTTCTTTTTAAGCTTCAAAACTAAACTTCTTTTTAAGAGTAGTTTTTAACAATGCTTTATGATAAGTAATATTAAATATGATTATAATTTAACGATTAAAAAAAATTTAAGTTCTAAAAGTTAATTTAAGTTTCTTAATATTTTTTTTATGTAACGTTAATGTTCTAAGAGTTGTGTTTCATTCTATGAGTTTTTTGGGAAAATATATCGTACGTAATACTATCAAATATCCAATATGTCAAGGACCTGAGTATATATCATACTAAAAATAATATTCATCTTTCAATAAAATCACTAGTAAAAATTCTATTATTTTTGAAGTGAAACTTCCTTATCGGCGTTGGAAAAAAATTTACCGTCACATTTTTCGGTTACGCGTCACTTTTTTCCGTTACGCGCCATCTGTTTTGTATTCATGTCTATGATAATAAAATCCTTTTGTTTAAACTTTATCTAATTTAACTTTTTTGTATTCATGTCTATGATAATAAAATCCTTTTGTTTAAACTTTATCTAATTTAACTTTTTTGTATTCATGTCTATGATAATAAAATCCTTTTGTTTAAACTTTATCTAATTTAACTTTATTTAACCAATTTCTAGAAAGTTGCATGTAGATCATTTTTCGAAAAATAAGGCCATAAACAAGTTTCACTTCTTACGTGTGTACACTAGTACACGCACACATTTTCTTTTTTTATCGTATACCCATCTATCAATATGTCGGGGAATACCTTGCGAGTCGACGGAAATGTATTATTATTTCTTAAATTACTAAACAATGCCCTTCTTTATTACTTTGACAAAGATCTCCGTAACATTTGAATGTCAAATGAAGATGTATTAGAAACTTTGATTGTTCATAATTAAAACCGCTTTTACGGTATAATTTCGCGTTTTTTATTGCCATCTTATTGTACCCAACGTTTCGAAAATTTCACAATTTTTGTGATGGCGGACGACTAAGGTGTTACTAGTTGATATTTGAATATTGTGCAAACTGTAATTTTTTTCATCTTTTATGCGTTAAGGCGTTTAATTAATTCAGTTGAAGCTTTGTGCAGTTGTTGTTGTCACGATTGACCATATCTCGCCTTTGGCCCGAGCATGGAAAGGCGCAGTGGCACCCAGAACGGATTCACCCGAACCAATCTGGGTGTCGTAAAACATGATTACGGGCTTACCAGATAATTGACATCTTTAGCGCATTGCTCACGACAACAGTTCCATTGTGATGCCTATGGTTTACAGTAACTGATTATTATCAGATCGCTTATCTGCCTATTTAAGGAATAAAAATAAAAGCCAATGATAAGTGACGTACAAGTGCCCAGAAAAAATGTACTAACCTATAGGTATTGTTCCACGACAGACACAAAGTCACATTGTTAATAAAATTTATTAATACTAAGTATTTGGTACCGTTTAATCTCGAGTTTATTGTTTCCGATTTAATTTCGAATACTAAACAATAAAGCAAAGGGTAAAACTTCAAATAAAAACAACCTAGTTTTAATTATGTCTATGATTTACGAAATCCACAGATAATACTAGAAATATTTTTTCACATTTTAGTCGTCATGCCCACGGGTGCTGAAGAAACAGGTCGCTTACGACATAAAGGCAGAGACAAGTCCAGCTCACGTCATGGCGTTTGGGACATGTCTTCCTCAGAAGATGAAGCATATACCGCCTAAGAACAATACAAAGGCCATTTGGCGAGGTGTCAAAATTCCTGAAGATCTACGCTCGATGGCCTATGTGTGGGAGGATATACAGCATCTTACGTGAGTTTCGAGAAACACACGCAAACTACCTAATAATAGTTACATTGTCTTTTTCTTTATAGCTTAGATGGGTGGACGAGCTCACAGCTCACCTGGTGTTAAGTGGTTACTGCAGCCCATAGACATCTACAGCGTAAATGCGCCACCCACCTTGAGATATAAGTTCTAAGGTCTCAAGTATAGTTACAACGGCTGCCCCACCCTTCAAACCGAAACGCATAACTGCTTCACGGCAGAAATAGGCGGGGTGGTGGTACCTACCCGTGCGGACTCACAAGAGGTCCTACCACCAGTGTAAAGTGTGTCTTTCGGGTATCTAAAGCTAATGTTTTTTTTATTTATTTTTTATTGCTTAGATGTGCGGACGAGCTCACAGCCCACCTGGTGTTAAGTGGTTACTGGAGCCCATAGACATCTACAACGTAAATGCGCCACACACCTTGAGATATAGTTCTAAAGTCTCAGTATAGTCACAACGGCTGTCCCACCCTTCAAACCGAAACGCATTACTGCTTCACGGCAAAAATAGGCAGGGCGGTGGTACCTACCCGTGCGGACTCACAAGAGGTCCTACCACCAGTGTAAAGTGTGTCTTTCGGGTATCTAAAGCTAACTGCCAAGACAAAAAGACCTTACGCCAAAAATCACAGTTCCTGTTAAAATACGTCAAGATGACGTCATCGTGAATTTTGTTTCATGTACTAATGTAGTATGATGATACTGTTTGTGGTTTATTTTTAACCTATCTCTATTCATGAGATATACATAATTATCTTAATAACATTGTTTTAGGTCCACAAAGGCTTTCCATAAATGGCTTCAACAGAAGCCAAATTTGTCGATGCCACCATTTTTAAAATCGCTCGACGCTTCCGGCGACAAGAAACAGTTGTTCGTTGTGCCTTCAGACTTTGTTGTGAAGGATAAAAGCTGGGATACATCCGCAAACGACCTAGCTTTACCGGTGTCTCAATTCTCGATTGAGCTTAAAGAAGTTCTCAGCAAACTAATGAATCATTAGTAACGCCAAGATAACGCACTGATGACCCGCAGTTTTCAAACTTGCCTCGCAGTGAATGTAATTGTGGAAACCTGAAGCTGAGCTCATTGCGATGCGTTTTAGTATTTGCAATAACCAACGTCCGCCTATTGGCCAAAATTCAACTATAATTACACACCAATTTAGATTTTGTTATTGTTGTGATTGTTTTTAAATTTGTAATGTTGAATGTTATTCTACAAAAAGAAAATCCCGTTTTCAAATGAAAAACGATAGCAATAAAGCTTGTCTACATCTATTAAATAGAAAAAAAAGGAAATCGGTTAACAAACAGAGATGAAATTTGTACCTATTTTGTTTTTTGCCTATTTAAAATGTTGGACACCGGTTGTACTTACTTCTATAGTTGACTTTTGATTAAAATCCAATTCAGTATCAGTACATCATTACATATCTGTCTGTACCTAGTGTAATACAGTAGGTATTTAATTGTTTTTTTTTAATTCCTAAAACGTGTTTTTTTTTATCGCAGAGCCTGCAAACCAGACAAATAAGTGCTACTCTATTACTCGAGAGATTTCTAAGAATATTAGCATAACTCTTTTTATGAAAAAATTAAAATCGTGAGTTTACAAATAGATGGAAAATATTTGTGGGTTTCTGCAGGACAGGTGTCAATATGTCAATATCATCATCATCATTCCTTCCTATTACCCTCTGCTGGGGTGTAGGGCTCGAATCAAACTTTTTCCATTTACATCGGTCTTGGGCAGTCTGTTCTTTGTTTTATGTTATTTTATTTTATTTTATTCTATGTCAATATACGTAATTAAAATTTTGCTTTCGGGCTAAATGTGAATGCTACTGTAAAATTTTTTGGGAAGGAAAAATTATATGAAACATTAAAATTCACAAAACTGTAACTAATGGTTTTCTCACTTTTCGAATGAATTCACTATAAAACTTAGGTCCATTATTATTATTACGCGAAATAAATTATGACAGGGTTTAATTTTTTGTTACACGATATTATTCCTATTAGAAATAAATGGCTTTCATACGCTGTGCCAAGATCACGACGAAGTGCGCCCAAGTTTTATTGTTAATTCATAATTAATGGTATTTATGAATATTGTGAAACGAGGACATCTGAACAGCGTGCTGAGGACACAATACAACAACAATAGTGGTGGTAGGACCTCTTGTGAGTCCGCACGGGTAGCTACCACCACCCTGCCTATTTCTGCCGTGAAGCAGTAATGCGTTTCGGTTTGAAGGGTGGGGCAGCCGTTGTAACTATAATTGAGACCTTAGAACTTATATCTCAAGATGGGTGGCGCATTTACGTTGTAGATGTCTATGGGCTCCAGTAACCACTTAACACCAGGTGGGCTGTGAGCTCGTCCACACATCTAAGCAATAAAATAAAATAAAAAAAGCGTGCTTAGGACACAATACGCCTTCCCGGTGCTGTTGAGTTGCTTCGTTTTTGCAGTCCATCAGGAATGTTTGCTGAAGCCACTCTTAGACTGCTTCTTTACTACCTAACATTCGCTAATGATGCGCATCCTTGCTTTGTAGAAAGCGGCTTAGCCTCATTAAGGAGCAGCAATAATAGCTGATCGGGTCACCCGTCTCTATATTAACTGCTAGTGTGCATGCAAGTTGCAAGCGGCCGTGTCTTTACTTTCTAGTTCCGTTTTATTTTAATTATTCTGCGGGCCATAAAAACTTTATAGTTTAAATAAAGAGTAAAAAGTTAAGTTTTTGTTTTATTCAAATAGTACCCAACTGGCGAATCCTAACATATTGCAATAAATTTAATGTAGTAAAACTTCTCTGGAAATACCCGTGCTTAGATATCGTGAACGACGAATATAGGTACCTAAGTTTTGCGTTAAATATATTTACCCTACATTCTCATTTAAGTCACCAGACCAGGTATCACGTGACTTAAATATTCGCACCGAAACACCACAGACTCAATCGCCGCAGCAATTAGTTTTTAATCGAATAACAAAGAATCCTTATCTCTGAATCACGTGAGGTCACTATAATGTGAATGATAAAGAATTACTACTCGACCCCCGCTTACTGACGCCTAAGAATTAAACTACTAGTTGGTAAACAGCTATCAGAATTTGAAGGTTTATCGTTAACATCAATTTTGGAATAGTCCGAACGAAAAGGAAATGCGAAACGATCATAAACCGTCTGCGATAATTATCCGTTTACACTCAGATATGTTTCCTACGTTATCGATAAATGATACCGATCATACATTTTTAATTCATTTGCAATCTAAATCGCGCAACCAGAGTGTTAAAACAAGACACGCTACACTCAAGTGATCGACCATTATGAATCTAAATTAAAAATAATAATACAAAAATATTTGTGCGTTCGGTGTTAAAATTAAAAATAATGACGGAACCAATCCCGGGAACGTCCAACAAAAAGGAACTTCTCGACGAAATAGTAAACAGGAATAAGCTGGGAAATAAAAAATCTCATTCGGAAACTTCGTTGCAACAATACGGAGAAAATGACGATGTCTTCACTATAGACGCGGGTCAGGATCCTGGTGTAAGTATATTAATGTGTTTAACTCTAAAAAGTTGACTCTAAAAAGGCAAAAACTATATATATGTGATGTATTGTGAGTCCTTACCTGTAAGAACCACCGTCTTGCTTATTTCTGTTGGGAAGAAACGATTGGGCAGCCGTTACAGTATACAATAGAGATTTAAACCACTATTCACATTGTGATGTCTTTGCACCGTGGTAACCAAATAGCACCAAAAAACCCATAAGGTCGCTTGCTCATACTAATAAAAAGAACAATTGCTTATCCTGTTTTTAAAAGATCGAGATCTGTTTTATTTCTATAGACAGGAGCCCGTGGCCTATCTTACATGAATACCCCAATGCGAACCTCACTACATAGTTTGAGACATGATTGAATTTTGTTCTTATAACAATAACTCCCAATCGACTCTCTAACCAACAAAATGTAAATAATAAGCGGTTAAAATTGTTGATTTTGGCGATAACAAATTTAATAAATTGTCATTGTAACAATGTCCGATAATTTTCCGTATTCTCCGTTTTAAAATAGGGAAAACCGTTAAAAAATATGGTTGAATTCGACATTTCATCCAATCATTCATCCATAATTTCTGCTCATAGTAAGTAATGAATTCGCCAAACGTTAGGATACCAGATTTCGATTTTTTAAAACATACATACATATATGTACATCGATTTTCTGTTGTTTGACAAAGACACTCGAAAGAGCAACTCTTTTTTATTATTACTTCGAATATTGTAAGTAAAACATAAATTTTATATGTTCCATCTTTTTTTATATTTCTTTTTTTTCAATATTTTCTCTTCGTCCGTCTTACAGTTATGTAATAGCCATCTCACTTTTTATAGTAATTTATTGTTCTTATCTGTATCGAATTTATCATCGGTACCTGTTGGATTAATCTTTTTAAAACCACTCGGAAAACGCAGTAGCAATATGCGGGGACTGGTAAGAAATTATATTCCAGTAACCCGCAAATGACAGTGTAAATTACATTTATCATCAAACGAATTTCTTTTGTATCTAATTTTGCTCAAGTAAATTTAGAACTAAAAGATCAAGCTTTTACTCTTATGTCAACATCTAAATTGCAGAAAAAAAACTAAAATCATTTGTTAAGAAATCAAACATTATAATTAAATTTTCTTCAAAACAAAGTATGTAATACTTACATTGGTTTTCATATTGAATGTATGCACTAATAAAATTACTGACCAATATGGTGATATCATAGCTTAGGATAGCAATACCCCATCTCTATTCGTGGGCATCGTTAAAGGCATCTAAAGATTCACCGAAGAATAAACAGCAGCGATCTATGAGTGTTATACTAACATCATCTAGTGGTGGGTAGGTACCAGAATCCTATTTATTTCCGAAGCCAAGCGTTTCGGTTTGGGCACTCAGATAGCCGTTAAAAAAACTAATTGAAACTTCATGGTTCAAGATAGTTCGTGACATTCCCACCGTGATGTCTATCGGCTCCAGTAATCACTTCACCGTAAGCTTGTGCGCCCATCTATGCAATAAAAATACGACAATCATACAATTTACAACAGCATCATGACTGTTACATTAATAACGATTTTGTACAATTCTTTCAGGTCCTCAATGCATCTTTAACAAACTTACAAAATGCAGACGACAATCCAAATCGAAAGCGGACCATGTCCCAGCCAGGTCCTGTGTCTGGTAGCCTCTTGACCGCGTCAGCCGCACGTGCTGCGAGGAAACGACCTCAAAAGAACGTCATGTACGCCCCGGACCTAGAAAGAAGTGTAAGTTTACTCTACTCTAGAAATAAATAGTAATATTTTAAAGGAGTAACTTAGTATAGGCGCGATTTTTAAATTTATTCAATAATAAAAGAGATAATGCTAGAGTTAACATGGTTATTTATATTTTGACATTCAAAAAGTCTGTTATACTGACATCTAAGTTGAAATAAATGATTTTGAATTTGAATTTGAATAATTAGATTTCATTCAATGTACCTGAACGAAATGAGCAATTCGATTTTCGTGATTAAGTTTTAGCTCTAAATTTCAGTGGATGAATATTATGTATATATACAAAAAAAACTTATGTCAGCAAAAGAGACGTGCTTGTTTAGAAGACGCGTCAGCATATCAAAGAGATTTGGGTTCAATTACTACTACAGGATGTTCGTTTTATGTCAGTGTTTAAAATATAAGCCTAATATATTCAACGGTAGGGAGCAGGTTGGCTCTGCCTCTCGAATTGCTGACGTCCAAGGGCGACGGTAACCACTTACAATCAGGAGGGCCGTACGCTCGTCTGCCTACAAGGGCATTAAAAAAATGTAACTCATCAGTTACTCACATCGTAGTGTTAAGTACATGCATATCACGGAACAAAATGTTTAAAATATACTCACAGACGTAGCATAAATGACTTATAAGCAATGCATACACGAATGTTCTACGCAAACAATCACTTCATATCAATCACATGATTTTCCGATTTCGGCTGATATTAGTCTTGATAGATAGGTATGCAATAATTAGTAGATTAGATTTCATTTCCTCGCAAATTATAATTAGTTTAAAATTTTCTGAGGTCAATCTCTGATAAATAATTTTTATTGTGTTATATACTATAAAAATATTACTAGTAGCCCCTAAATGAAAAACTATATATTTTCCGGTAATTATTATGTTCTAGCAACACTTTTTAGTGCTAATCTCCACTAATTAAGTGAAATTATATTTAAACCGAAAATGTCCCACGTTAATTTCACAATTTAAAAATAACTAGACGATGACCGAGCCTTGCTTGGGTTTTTTTTTGATAACGCTATCTTGTTGTGTCTTTAAAGCGGTTAGTTGCCCTCAATTAAGAAAAATAGTATTATTATTCGCCAATAGATGTCGGGAAGAGTTGATTATTGAAAAAAATGAATATAACAACATATTCTGAAAATAAATCGTAGCTAGATCGAGTATCGCCCCCGAAATCCCCTGTATACTAAATTTTATGAAAATCGTTGGAGCCGTTTCCGAGATTCAGATTATATATTATATATTAATATACAAGAATTGCTCGTTTAAAGGTGTTAGATGTGACTCTTACGTTTGTGATTGAATGTTTTTGTCTATGTCACTTTCCGGCCCGTGAGTTATCTTTGCATAAAATCATCTCATCCGTAGCCACGTTCTGGCCTGAAAGAAAAAAAAACTTTTGAATGTATAATTCATTGGCAAAAATTTTTTTTTACAAGCTCTACATTTAGACCCCTATACCATATTGAGCTGAGAGCCGCGTTACGGTACTTTTGAAACAACAAAAAGAGGCGATAAGTCAGTTAAATGTATGTAAGTGTTGGACTCCCTAAAAATCTTAATAACGCACTTACGTGTTTTTTTGCATAAATGAATTCAAAAGACTTCATTATTGTATAGAAGTCAACATATATTTTTTTCCTACCTATTCTAATAACCTCGAGGGGTTATTCTAGATTCGCCGAACTAGTAGGTGAGCTCATGGGGCTCAAACCTGACGACGTTGCTAACACGAACCCTAGCAAGAGCCGTGCTTCGCAGAACCTACCCCCGGAACGGAAGATTTCCCTTCAAAACATATAAATCTCTCGCCTTTTAGCTAATCTACAGTAATTTAGCTTTACTATATTGTAGATGTTTTTTTTATTGCTTAAATGGGTGGACGAGCTCACAGCCCACCTGGTGTTAAGTGGTTACTGAAGCCCATAGACATCTATAACGTAAATGCGCCACCCACCTTGAGATATAAGTTCTAGGGTCTCAGTATAAACCGAAACGCATTACTGCTTCACGGAAGAAATAGGCAGGGTGGTGGTACCTACCCGTGCGGACTCACAAGAAGTCCTACCACCAGTAATTACGTAAATTATAATTTTGCGGGTTTCATTTTTATTACACGATGCTATTCCTTCACCGTGGAAGTCAATCGTGAACATTTGTTGGGTACGTATTTCATTAGAAAAATTGGTACCCGCCTGGGATTCAAACACCGGTGCATCGCTCAACACGAATGCACCGGACGTCTTATCCTTTAGGCCACGACGACTTCATCGTAAATGCGCCACTCACCTTGAGATATAAGTTCTAAGGTCTCAAGTATAGTTACGCATGTCCTTACTTAGGAGGTAATCGCACCGCAATCGCAAAAATCATTGTTCTAAATCTATTAAGATTAATTTTGTTATTTTTGGAACACCCGTCACACTCATATTAAAATGGTGTTATAAAAATAAATTTTATATTATAAATATTTTTTTTATTGATAACGTCAATGATGGCAATAAAACGTTTGAATTGTAATTTTCGTTTACTGTGAACCTGAATATATTATGATTTTTAATAACAAACATAACTGATATGATTTAACCAATATTTTTACGGAATTCGCGAGGGACTCTGCAAGTGGCTACTAGCTTTTTGGATAGGCGGAGCATCACGGTCGTTGTAGAAGCTTGAACAAGCTTCGGATCTCTCCCCCACGCTTTACATCCTGTACATCAATGACATGCTATCTATTGATGGCATGCATTTCTATGCGGATTACAGCACGGGGGATGCACGATATATCAGTCACCAGAATCTCTCTCGGAACGTGGTGCAGAGACGATCAAAACTTGTATCGTAGAACTTGTGAAGTGGAAAATTCTCTGGGGTGAATCTCCGAGTGAGGTGAATTTAATTTAGTTCAATGAAGCGGTTGAAGACATAGGTTTGTGCGCTCACTCCGAAAAAGGATCCTTTTGCCATGGTGTCGCAATTTCAAGGAGTTCTCCTGCAAACTTCCACGATTATTGGTGCCGATGTTTCGAGCAATGGCCAAATTTGGAGTCATTTGGAGGGCGAAGCCAAGTTGGGGTCTAGAATGCTGTAAGTCCTCAACAGAGTGAAGCCGTAGTTCCCGCCTGGACAAAGACCTTTACTTTACAAAGCACAGGCCCGCCCTCGGGTGGAGTATTCCTCCCACCGCTGGAGCGGGGCTCCCAAATACTAACTACTTCCATTTGACTCCATATAGAAGAAGGCCATTAGGATTGTCAATAATCCCATTCTCATGGATCGTTTGGAGCCTCTGGGTCTGCGGATGGGGACTTCGGCTCTCTCTGTATTTTGTACCGTATGTTCCATGGGGACCGCTCTGAAGACTTGTTTGAGATGATCCCATCATCTCGTTAGTACTATCACACCGCCCGCCACCGAAGTATTGGTGCGCTTCTAGAGATTTTTTTTTACATGCACCATCCGGCTTTGGAACCACCTCCCGTGTACGGTATTTCTCGAGCGCTATGATATCTCCTTCTTCAAACGAGGCTTGTGTAGAGTACTTAATGCTAGGCAGTGGCTTGACTCTGCCTCTGGCGTTGTTGACGTCTATGAGCGACGGTAATCACACACCATCAGGACGGCTGTGTGCTCGTCGGCCTACAAGGCCAAATAAAATACAAAAAAATGAAATAGATTTTCTCGTTGCGTATATAACACCGTGTAAATAAAAACCGCTGTATCAAAATTATACATAGATCACGATCTTCTCGTGATTGTATTTAAATGCATATTCATTATACTTTTTAAAATCATCCAGTCATTCGAAAAATAGATCGTCTCGACCTTATGTTGAATGTATTTATTTGGCTCTGATAAAAGTTTATTATTTAGCAGTAGTAACCTTAATAAACCCATAAACAACGTGACAACAGAGCTGATAACGATTGTTTATCAAATCGAAGTAAATTTCATGAAAAATGAGAAATTAATTTCAATAAACAGGTGAAAAGTAAGTAGGTACATCATTATGATTATTCAGTTTTAATGTTAGCGTTGTTTAGTAACGTATTCGCGAAATTTCAATATTAGACTCAGAGAGTACCGAGCTCTTTACAATTCGCTTGTAAATTATTTAAAAAATCACGTATGGATCATAAACAGCTAAATCAAATCTACAGTAGGAAGATTAAATATACGTCAAAAGTACGATTAATTAATAATTATGATAAGCTATCGACCTGATCCGATTAAACCTGAAGAGATTCGTTGTAACTAGTTCTGTTCCTGTAGAGATAGCAGAAATATTTAAAAAAACTCATGTTTCTAAAGCTGTTTTAACTTTAAAATATATTCAAACTATGTTTAAAACTACCAATGTTGTTTAAACAACCAATCGGTGTGTTAGGGTTCAATGGTTTGTAATGATTTTTAAGTCGGACAAATATGGATGCAACGAAATATTTTTATTATTGTTTTTTTTAAATCTTAATATTTTTATATATACTTAATGCCTATGGTTATGTACGTGATTATTTACTACATATTAAAAACAAAAAAAACATGATTACTTTTGTTTAAAATACACAGGACAATATGATGATACATAGATAATTTAGACTTTATAGCCGTTATTGTATAGATGCTGACAAAAAAGAACAAACCTGAAATTCGCTGAATATCTACTTCAGCAACGTATGAAATTTTATTAGTTTATTCTAATTGAAAATATACTTGAAAATGACGCTTCATTTAGTTTATCATTCTCCTGATATAAAAATAAAACGATAAAAGGTAAAGGGCGAACGTAGCTCCATAGTATCGAATAGCGGGCAACACGGGCCGTGTTTGTGAGGCGGGTCACTCTCGCGCAGCGAACTGGAAACCTTTTGAGTCCAGCCGGCCGCGAGCCCCCCCTGCAACCCCCGGCGCCACCCCCTGTAAATAGCGACTGCGGGCTCCCGTGCCGCCCCAACGCCTCGCCTAATGAAAATTCAATCTCTTTATTTTTTATTCCCCTGCATCGACTGTTAACGCCACAAAAACTCAATCGAAATATTTATTAACGACTTCTTAATCTACGTCCTATCTAAATCGTGACAGCGCGATACCGGGCGCCGCTAATTCATTTTTCATTAATCTCGTATTTTTATTGAATCAATGATAAAGTTTTCTTAGAAATCCAAATATTTCTTACGGCTCTTAAATGAATTGACTGGGTGTCATTATCATTCGAATTTGTTATTAACATGAAGATCAGCGACTAGGACGATAACCATAATATAATATGCAGTTTGCATGTTGTAAAGCAACACGCCGGTTTGAGCCCCGTGAGCTCATCTATACGTCAAGGAGAAGCTGAAATAGCCTCTCAAGGCTATCAGCATAGCTAGGAAAAAAAAAGAACAAAAAAGTAATGAAACAATCCAATCTATACCTCTTATATTATATAATATTATAAAGCTGAAGAGTTTGTTTATTTGAACGCGCTAATCTCAAGAACTACCGATCCGATTTGAAAAATGCTTTCAGTGTTAGATAGCCCATTTATCGAGGAAGGCTATAGGCTATATAACATTACGCTAAGACGAATACAAGCGGAGCACCAATAAATAATGTTTCAAAATCGTGATTTTTTTCCCTTTTGAGAGCTTCCGCTGCGTGCGCTGCAGAAACAGTTAAAGTTTCGCTAAAATAATGTACGGCAGAATTGTTCCCCTTTAAAAGATCTAAAAAAAAGTTACCGTCAGCATATGTCTATATGTTAAAGTTGACTCACTATCATACACATTTTTTATCCTTACCAAATTTGTTCTAACATAAAGCATTATTTGTGAACTATTCCACGCGGACGAAGTCGCGGGCAAAAGCTAGTTAGCTATAAACTAAAACTAATATAGTACGCTTTCATGAAGGTAAACCTGCAAAATTTCCGATCAAGCTGCTGTACAATAGAGCGTGTACACAGTTTGTTTCAATTTCGCAGTAAAGCGTTTTTTGAACGTCAGCACAGCCCGAAATTCGTAGCACGGGAACGCGAGACAACGTAATGGGATTATAGTGAAATACAGGGCGGCGTCGATCGAGAGAAACAAGCGACTAATGAAGTTATTAATCGGATTTTATACGGCTTTTGATGTTCATATCTACCGCTTGTTCTCTATGTTGTACGAGTTTATGAAATGTCACATATAACAAAAAAAAATCAGGAGACTTCCTATTTGTACGTTTGCGCACGCAATTTAGTGTAACGGGTGGACTGACTTAGAAGCGATTTTAGTGAACGATTGCTAGCAGATTAGTTACAGACAGCGAGTGGTGCGACTAACCGGACATGCAATCAAGGGGCAAATGTAATATTTCTATCTAATCGTATCTAACTCATGTAATCAATACTTTCAAATATTAGGTAGCGTCATGTTGTTGCAAAAAGCCTACCCGCAAAATTTATCAAAATGCCCTATTTATGGCGGCATTCATTCATTCCAGTTTGAAAACTTACGCAGCCGTTACTGACAGCGATTGTTCGATAATACGAAAGCGGTTTTAAAGTGCAACGAAATTGCGAATATACGTTTTTCTGAATAAATTAATAAATATGTAAGCATTGTTGTTAATATTTTATATAAATCTTTTCAGGAATCGACCAGTGATAGGCTGCGGTCGAGTAATGGTGGTGATTCGGGTACAGCCACGCCGACAGGTACGTCCGTTTAAGTAAAAGTAATCAAACTAAATAAATTATTTTCATTCATGTGACTATTTATTAATTTCTTTAAATAATAACGTAGCATTAATAACGTATTTTTTCAGGTGAAAGAGGTAGTCCACTTCCGTACAATGGTTTGAATAATAATTCAAAGAATGGCGACATCAAATCATTAAGTGAGTTATTGGTATTTTTTTTTAAACGACAGTAAGCTGTATTTGTATTCATTTGTTTTTAGATTACCGCTACAGTAATGAAATAAAAATTTGACGTACAAGGAACTAGGAATCTTTATTCTCGACTTCTGCGAGTGCACCATCTCGCAGAAGGAGGCGGCGGGGCGCGTGAGAGACGCACAAGCCCGCCGTCATCAAGCAGGGGCCACGGAGCCAGATCTCACCCAAGCCCTGGCCCTCTTAGTGTTTTGGGTCCCACTCACATGTCGGTCTGGGGACCGGCGAAGGGGGCCCAAGAAGACGACGTGCAAGCTGCTCTGCACGCGTTTACGTAAGAGCATCCGGGTGATGGAAGGCCGGCTATCCTCGACCCACGCTGGTTCTGGCCCAGCGGGCATTCCGTAGGATAAGTCACTCTAACCGGCGCCATCTAGGCGGGCTTCGGATAGCCTGCCGACCGAGAGGGCTGTTGGTCGTGGCGCCGACGACCGCCGGTCCGGCGTCCCGAGGGGGAGGGTGATGGGAGAGATGTGCTTCGCATTAAACGCTTCACTTTCCCCCCTTTGCCTTTTCATGAGTTCTGACTCATGCGAGGTTTGGAAGTTGATTGTTGAGCGACAGGAGGCTCTAGTTCGATTCTGACATGCCCCGCTCTCCATCCCTAGTGGAGGGCGGAAGTCCGGCGATTTCCTCCTGAACAAAAAAAAGGGATCTTTAGTGGCTTCGTTAATTACAACTTTGAAATCTAGATAATAAAGTCTTTGTGTTATTGCATGTGATCATCATGTAGCGTTCTTTGCAAAGGACTGCCTAAGAATAAATCTTATCATGCAGTGTGCAAAATTTTGGCTTAGTCATTATAAATAACAGCACCGATAAGAATTAAATTTGTAATGAAAACGTTATAAGCACACGATTAAATTTGTGTCGTATCACCCGAGAAATGCGTTTAATGCTTAACAAATATGTAACATTTATCTGATATGCCCACTACAAAAAGTAACATTATAGTTTGTCACTTTTTTGTCATTAATTTTCATTAACAAGTAAAAAAAATTACACTACTACTGGCACTACTTAGGCAGCGTGTTGGAGTTTGTATATAAATGTAATGGCAGGCAACACTTGACACATGATTACAGATTTCGAATATTAGAATTATTTTAAATGTTTAAAAAACAGATCATAGTATTCTCGTAAGAAAATGTCAGACTTCTCATCTAGACACGGCAAGACAAACATGTAATAGTTTTATAAAAAATATAAAGATAATAATTGTATAATGGTGTAAAAGTGTTCAAACTATATGCAATATAATTATGAAGCAGTGTGTTTTTTAAATAGCCCCTCATCAACCTAAAGAACCCAATCCCCTCAAATTGAACCATCCAACACAGCGATCACATAAATGCTAAGGTTTGTGTGTACTTTGCTAGGAAATATTAGCCTGAACATGGGAGGCTAGTTGTTTTTGTTTTAAAAGATAATAATATGGATAATTGAAATTTGACCAAACGAAGAGATTTCATGCAGATCTTGATCATTTTTTATCGACAAAAGTGCCACGCTATTTAATTGTTTTAAATGAAATTACAGATAGCTACCGCCTGTATATACCTACAAATGACTTGAAAGGAAGCGCTACACCAAGGAAGCGTTCAGTGGCCACAATGGACGCTCAGTCAATCAGATCTGTAGAGACGCATGCACCGCCGCCCACCAATCCAGAGGACAACAAAAAACAAACCAAGTACGAAATTTAACCATGTTAATCTTAAATTAATCTTAAATCTTACTCAAGTCTATACCTGAGTGACGAACATTGAAAATTTTTAGGACTACTTTATGAGGTCTTGTTTTCACGCAGGTGACGACAAGGTACATTCGGAAATATATTTTTTTGTTGTTCACGCCATTTGCATCTTTAGACGTAAAAGGAAAAGCGAGAGACAAGAGTTCCGAAGAATAGTTTTAGGCTCTATTATTGTCTCTTCCCTTGATACTCCATTCAGCCTGAAGACAGGAAGAAAATTATCCTAATTACATATTAATTTATATTGAAACAGAAAAAGTTGCAGTGATTATTATTACAGTACTAGGTACTTTACTGATGTTTTAAGAAATTTGTATGCACCATGTTGCGTGAACTAATATTCGGCAACAACAGTTCATTGAACATTGTTTGATTTTATTATTAATTTAGGTCAACCCATTTATTAGACAAGTTGAAAGTAACAATATCTCCTCAAAATGATTAGTCTTTACAAATACTGTAAAATAAATACGACTAAAAATAATTTTTTATTTATTTATATGTAATAGTAAGTAATCAAACCAAAGTGAAACATATAATCATAGTTTTGGTGAACTAATTGTAAGGAACAGATTTGTTGTTTCGTTGTATAAATAGGTACGCAATGTTATGCATTCATCATCATATATCATGAAATTTATACAGATATCATTCGGTGACCTCGTGACCTCTTGTGAATCTGCACGGATAGGTACCACCACCCTGCCTATTTCTGCCGTGAATCTCAAATATATTAAGTGTATAATCTATGGCCGTGAAGCAGTAATGCGTTTCGGTTCGAAGGGTGGGGCAGCCGTTGTAACTATATTGAGACCTTAGAACTTACATCTCAAGGTGGGTGGCGCATTTACGTTGTAGATGTCTATGGGCTCCAGTAACCACTTAACAACAATGTGGGCTGTGAGCTCGTCCACTCATCTAAGCAATAAAAAAACTGAAAAAAGTATATTTATCCAGTATTTTTCGTGTATGATGTTGAAACATAATACCTTAAACGTAATACAATTTAAGATGAAACCTCAACCCATACCCTGTAAATGAAGCTTTTGAGAACATTGTTTAAAACCATAAGCAACTAACCATCTTTGGTTCGATGGAACTTCAACATTAGTAAAATCGTCTTTGGCTCTTTCTGACTCTTAAGTACCTCATATGTCCAACTTTGTGTGTATATTTATAAATATAATAGGTACATTCTTAATAATTTCTAGGAAATACATTACGTTGATAACGAGCTGTATGTACGCAGTATTATTAGTGACGTTCGGCCTAATTATTTATATTGGAGACACGTTGGTCGAGCCGTCTGTTTCAGTGGTAAATATAACGCATTTTATTAACATATTTAATTAACATTAAACAATATTTGTTGAAGCCTTTTACATTTTGAAGACATACTATGAAGGAATACCCTGATTCATCTGAAAAATATTATCATGTACTTGTTTGAATTAGAGTTTAAATAATAAACGAAGCGTCTGTAGTCTAATAACTAATAAGTGAAACGCCCGGTATATTCGTGACGAGTGGTGCGACTAACCGGACATCCAATCAAGGGGCAAATGTAATATTTCTATCTAATCGTATCTAACTCATGTAATCAATACTTTCTAATATTAGGTAGCGTCATGTTGTTGCAAAAAGCCTACCCGCAAAATTTATCAAAATGCCCTATTTATTGCGACATTCACTCATTCCAGTTTGAAAAGCTATGCAGCCGTTATAGTTTTACGATTGAGACTTTGGCCACATGGCAACCCAACAACACTAGCAGCGTTGAAGGACAGCAATCCAACATATAGTTTATCCACGAAATGCCACGGGTGCTAACGATTTCTGAACCATTCGATGTTTCCATTTACAGCGCCTGCTCGTCTACTAATTTCAGCTAATAAATATGAAACCATATTTGTTTCTTTACAGATATATTCCATCATACTGTGTGGCATCGGATTCCTGTATTTAATATTCTTAATAACAGATATAAACAGGTACAAAGCACTCGCTTTAAAGAACCTGAAAATTAAAGGGCTACACGAAGAAAAAATCGCTGAATTTTTTAGAAAACAAGAAGTGAGTCTTGTATTTTACATATTAATAGGCCGTAGACAGACTGTTCCCGAAGCTGAAGATGGGAACTACCTCCATACCGGAAAAATAAAACTTTACTATAACTTAATAGTTTACTAAAAACTATTATAGAATGATTAGTAGCTTTAATAGTTGGAACCCTCAGCGCTAGGCGGTGGTCTGGCTGCGCCCCTTACAATTCCAACCAGATTCTATGAGCTATGGTAAAACTTACCATCTGTTTATTTATTTATTTATTTATTTTATTTAATATATTTTGTACACACAGCTGTTAGAAAAGACACGACAATAAGAATACAGAGTACAAGGGCACTACTTATTTCATGTTGAAATCTCTTCCAGTAGGCCCGCAAAAGGAAAGAAGAATTAGGAACACAAAACTAGTGCATACAGTAAACATTACATATAATAAATAATATATACATATTACAAGATACAAAACAATATATATACATACAAATACACACACACACACATATATATACCTATATATACATACATACACAAATATACTTACTTTATATTATAATACATCTTTAGTTCATCTGTCTATTAAGGCTAAAAATAATCCAGTCGGGTCAGTTTAAATATTGTGGACACGAAATGTAACGTAAATGCAGTTGGTGGACCCCTCTCGCATTCCTTAGAGACTGTGGATCGTGCGCGTTTCTATTTGTGTTACAATGCGGGCAATACGAATTTAATTAGTAAAGTTAATTTTTCATACCACTATGTTCATCAGGAATCATCCGCTTATCTGTATTAATATGTTTAAAATATTGATATGATCAATTTCTTGCCTACGAATACAAGCAATTACTTATAAACATGCTATCTGAGTGCTTAAGCCGAAAGCAAGGAAGCAAAATACTATTAATTGCAAACATCAGATAAGAGCGTTATTGTTGCGTCACATTTTTTAAGGAACAAACTGTAAACAAATGATTAACTATCAGGTAATAACTGAGTCTCATGACCGATGTACGTAAATAATTAATCATCATTCATTAATCTTATGATGCGCAGTGGCTACCATTTTGTGTTTTCTAAGGGTCCCGGCATTAGCTTCACATAGTATATGCTATCGAAGAAGGAGAAGCCTATTTTACGGCCCAACAAATATTCAGAGCATAAGATAAGTCTGAGAGCACTATCTCCTCAATTGGCAAACTGATTAAGAATTGGGTCCAGTACTTAAACCAGCCTGAGTAATATTTTAGTATAGCTTTTTTTAATCATATAACAAATAATAATGTTGACGGATATTACATATGTGAAATTACAGTTATACAATTATCAATTACAATTTGGAAATGGAGGGACAATTTTTGATATTTTCTTTTGAAAGCAACGGATGAGTTTAATATTAGTAATTTTAGGGTTATGTTGCTCGCCTTCTACAACAAATTCGACATCCGATCAGCCCGGTGGTACCAAGTTTTCTAATACTAACACAAATAGACGTAGCTGAAAATTGAATTGAATAATTTCAATACATTAATTCACACAAACACACTCACTAACGCACGCACGCATATGCGTAGCTTATAGGAACTATGCCATTCATATTTTTTTAGCCATCAGTAACCCAATAATTGTACCAAATAGGTGTTCACACAGCTTAATGTTGCAGGAAGATTTCGGCGCGCCCGGTACTCCAGGCGACCGAACTCCAGAGTTTAAGGCACCGAATTTTCGACCACCAATTCTTATTCCCATGCTACACCAGTACTGCTTCAGTCAGGGCCGGCATTCAGGCAGTTTTTACCTTAAACTCGGGGCTGCAGGTGCGTAATTTCCTATCCTGTCCTATCCTATCCTATCCTATCCTTCAGATCACCGACGTCTACTGCTGGACATAGACCTTCCCCAAGCCTCGCCACACCGTAATTTACCAACTCTTTACTTTTCCAACTTTGAGGCAGTTTTTTTGGACTATATATTATATAGTCTTACAGCTCATTTAGTGTTGATTTCCGCTATTCACCTTAAAACAATGATAATGCCGCTGTCAATGTATCAAATATTTTACACATAAATTATTAACCGAATCTACCAAATTATTTTTGCTATTGTATTTAGGTAATGTCATTTGAGTGATATCATTATTGCAAAACATAATTAGCATTTGAAAATTCTACGAATCATCCACACAAAATTTCCTGCAGTTATCCAAAGGATTCTATTTTCTGTGGCTACTACGCCTTTAAAATTCACAATACGTTTCACTGAATTTTAGACGATTTTGTAAATTTTCCAGGTTTCGCTTTGGGCCATTTGATCCATTCCGTTCTCCTCCTTGCTGTTCAGATAGGACATTTTTTGGACGAAGACGTAAACAATGATGATTGCGTTAACATACTGCAAGTTGTTCTCGACGTGATGTTCCCGTTGTATTGTTTCGTGCAACTTTACTTTATATTTAAATATTCGAATGTCATCATTTTACGATATCAGGTAACATATAAAGTTTTATATTAAAATTACAATGATTTGCTTTTCCCATTCTCACTATCACTCACTATACTCACTATACTCTCTCATAATGATAACTAACTACTATTATTTTTATCAATTAATAGATTTTATATATCAGATATGGGTATTTGTTTTATCAAAGCTTATGCATACTGTAACAACGCTGTCACCAATTTGGAGATACGAGAAGAAGATAATAATTGCATTAGAAATTAGAAATTTGTCGCATTCATATGCCATGTTATTCCTTCGTCGCGGTACTCCAACACTACACTTAAACTTCAGTCTTTCTCGTATCAAATGAAAAAAAGCATATATTTTTTTTTAATCCAATAAAACAATTTATTTTTTGTAATTTATTATTTTATCTATTTCCAGAATCTAGCTAGATTCGCCTTCATGCATATGATCGGCAGTAGTCTTTGTTTCTGGGTGTCGGCCATTGTACGTGAGACTATCTTAGGGCTAACTCTGTACGCGAACAGTATTTATGGAAACAATAATTACAATTATGAAGGATACTCGAACCCGACTGGTAGGTTTTTTTTATTTATTATTTAGGACTGAGGGTCATGGGCTCATTCAGCCATTAATTAAAAATAAAACTTCTAAAAGTTATATTATCGTATTATTATAGCAATTGAAGACGCGATGATATTTTATAATAATTAATTTCAGACTACGAACTGTCAGCTATACGTCAAACGAATAGATTTTTGAATGTCAGCAATCTATTTAATGAAGAATGCATTGGATCGAAGGCGATTTCAACTATATTTGAGAGCTTCTCACCGTACCTTTACCCGTTCAGCGTCGAATTCAACATTTTGATCGGTAATTAGCTGTTTATCACTATTAAATCTGTTTTAAATGTACACGTATACATTTTATTTTTTCCCAATAAATGAATAATCTATTCAGGTGTGTAATTTTAAGTATATAAATTTGTTTGTACTCCAGTGTATTTATTGGAGAATTATTTTTAAAAGTATTTATAATCTATGATTGAATTCAAATGCTCGTTTTTTTTATTTAATTCTGCTATAATGATGGAGTCGTAAATATTAAAGCCAAAGCCAAGACACCCTCGAAATTCAAGTAAATCCATAATTTAAATCGTTTAAATGTGGAACGATCATCCAAAATTCAATACGCTTAAAATCATTGATCCACACAAATCTAAATTCTTAATGATCTGATTTCTGTACGCAAACTCACCTGACTTCGTTTTTTTTTTTCATGAATGATATATTTAAATTTAATATTTTTAGTTGCTGTTTATTTCATCATTTGGAGCAACATCGGTAACTGCGACAATGAAGATAACGAGTCGGAATTAAATTCTACTGACGACGATAATACAACCATTTGCAGGTTCACTGATTTGTATAATTGTTCTCGGTGTAATGTAAGAGTGCTCGATATCTCGAAAGGCAAATGAATACTGTTTTATAAATTGGAAACAACTATATTTTGTTACGCTCAGCAAATATCTGTTGTTCTAGTAACATCAGACTTCGTGAACTTGTAATCTCAAATGAAAAAGTCGAGCAGCTTATGGACGAGGAGTCAGTAAACTTCCGAGCATCATCAATCATCATCAATACATCATCATCATCATCATCAATATCAATCAATTAATCAATACATCATCAGTCATCATCAGTCATCAATACATATAATAAAATCGTAACTGGTCGCTGTCTGTACATGGAAGATATCTCAGAAAAAAATATTATTGGGGCTTTATGAACGCAATAGAACCCAAAATAATGATTTTTAGGATTTTTGTCTATTTGTCTGTTTGTCTTTGCATTTGTGCACGATAATCTCAGAAACAACTTATCCGATTTAGATATGGTTTTCACTAATTTATTGTGGTAAGCTTTATGATAAGTTATGTTTTATGATAAGTACGTGTTTACGAAACAACGTTATGTTAGTAGGTACTACTTATTGTAAGAATGCCTCGAAAAAAGATCCAGCCTCTCCCAGTGCAGCAGGAATGCTAAAAGGATGAGATTAGTTCGATCACAGGAACCTGAAGGAAATCATGAGGCAAGACTCACGTTTGCCCATCGATCGTGAATCTCATGCATTATCGCTTGATTCTGAGACCTTTACTCATTCATTTCATCATTAATTACTCTAATAGTAGTGCTGTGATGGGTACATACCCTATCTCTCAATTTGATATATTTTCAAAGTGTATAATAATTATTGGAGTTTCCTAAGCAATTATTCACTAATCTGTTTTTACGCTCACAGAATCCCAACAGCAAATGAAGAAAACGATTTTACCAGCAACATTGTCATTTACGCTGACTGTCACGCCTCCAACAAAGGACTATTCGCAGGATTGATCCTGATGGTTATCATCGCTGGAATGCTCATCATTGGATTCGTCTTCAGCAGCGTTGGCGAGTGAGTACCTATACATCAAAATTAATAGACACAAGCAACTGAACTTCTCATCGGATCTTTTGTAGGTCAAGATTCCGATCCCGTTGTAGATTCAGAGAAGCACTGCTCTTATTGGATTGCTAGCTAGATGTTGGCAAGTTCTCTCAGGTTGAGCCTTGTAAGCTGGCACACCAGTCATAGCGAAGCAGGAATAGCCCTTCGAGGCTAATGGCGGAGAGCTATGCCAAAAAAATAAATAGATCGAATTAAAAATCGATTCTATAACTATGTATAATATATTATATAAAACTAAAATGTGTCGCAACAAAATATTACAATATACTTGATGCTGGGTAATAATAAACTTAAATAAACTTAAATACTGACCTGACTCAACCAACCAATAATTAAATGATGGTACCAGTGTCTTACATATTATAATCATGAGTACGCCCGAAAAGATAGTACATATATGTATTAAGGAATGGAAGGCAGAGTCCATTCTACGGGTCGTGAGTTCATCCCTGTGCTAGTATAAATCTTTAATCCATACAATTTTTCTTAATAGGGAATTTTTGGAGCTCGGTTATCTCCTGAATAACTGTACAAAACTCACATTACACACGTTGATGCTGATTGCTTCTTTGGTGACGTTGAATCAACTGAGGAAACTGGATATCAACGAGCACCCTATCTCTCTACTGGACGACGTTTTACTCTTTATCTGCCTACCAGCTTTCTTCATGGAAACATTTTTCTCTCTGATTGCTACAATAAGCATTTTGAACATAGTTAAAACTATCGATTTTATTGTAATGGTATGTATTTAATTTCTTCAAATTAAGGTTTTTCCACTATTTAGGAGGTAGTTTAATTAAAAAAAAAAATTAATAATTGAAAAATGATAAGTTTGTTGGAATAAAGAATTCTATAACGACGCTGATATTTAAAAATAGTTTATTTTCTAATTTTGTCAGCAATTAATTGAATTTGAATGACACAAAGACAAAATTTTTGCTGTTGCATCACAGATATAAGTTTGTAAACTAATCCAAAGCTACGCACTTTTTAGTGCCATTCATGATTTAATATTATAATCTCGGTCGTTTATAGACTAAATTTGTTGCGCTCCACTAAGGACTTTTTCAAACCAAATTTGAAGAAAAACTAGCCTCCACAAATGCTTTGAAAAAATATCTTATATAGATTCATTATAATAATACTCATTAGTCTCGATGTCTTCCTTAAAGGATCCATCACTGATTCTATCGAGTATTACTTTCATGGCATTTTTTATTAAATTGCTTAACACTTTGACTGTATCGCTACCCTGCGTGGCGCAATAGATTAATTATGACGTTTCCTATACTAAAACTAAACTCCTCGATTTGCTCAAAAGGTTAATCTGTGTACATTTAATTTATAACGTGTATTCCATTTAACCGTCAAGATAAAATCTATGTGTATATCTATATATATAAAAATGAATTGCTGTTCGTTAGTCTCGCTAAAACTCGAGAACGGCTCGACCGATTTGGCTAATTTTAGTCTTGAATGATTTTTGGAAGTCCAGAGAAGGTTTAAAAGGTAGATAAATATGAAAATGCTCGGAATTAAATAAAAATAATAATTTTGTTTTTCCTTTGATTTGTCCCCCGGACGTCGGACGGATTCCTTTTGTTAGTTTTAAGTTTATTTTATACAAAAGTGTAGGTTTTTTATTTATCGATTGAGGCGCTACGAAGTCTGCCGGGTCAGCTAGTACTTTTATAAATATGTATTATGTAACTTGTTCCGTCTGCTTTTACAGTTCATCCAAGTGACAATTCAAACTCCGCTCATAATGGACGGGCTCCGTCGGTGCAGCAATACAAAGAAGCTTCGCCGTTCAAAGCCCGGTCGGGAGCTGCTCATGTTTCTGCTCATCGCGAACGTGGGAATGTGGCTGCTCTACACATTCTCCTACAAGTCCCCGGAGAGCCTGGACGAGAGATACGCTTTCTACGGAAAAGTGTTGTGGAGCATCCTCGGTCACGTCAGCTTGCCTCTGATCATGTTCTACAGGTTCCATTCGAGCGTCTGCTTTGCTGATATATGGGATTCGGCTTACAAGCCCGGCTCGGAACACTAAAATAATTAGCTTTAACGAACTCGTGTCGTCATTATTAAGTTTCGTACGAATTAGGGAAGCATAGTCAAAGTTAATATTAAATATATTTTCTTTATTATAATTAAGGACAATTAACATTGTTATAGTGATAAAAAAGGTATTTTATAGGATTTTAAAGAATAATGTAGTTGTGAAAATGTATATAGTTCGGTGAACAATATTTTCCGCAAATGAAATGTACTTAAAATAAATCAAATATACGGTATGTTAGTGTATAAAACTTTAGAATAAACATCTAAAACGCCCATTGTTTTTTGTTTGTTTTCTTTTTAATATTTAAAAATCTATTTGAAATATCTATTAAATTGATTCCAATTTTATTACCTGCAACTTAGGCATACGTAATATGTGCCTAAAACTAATTAAATGTGAACAATATACACACTAGGGGTTTTAAAACAAGTTTTAATTAGTCCAATACACTGTATATTATAATATTTATTACTATATATATTTATTATTATTACTTAGTTATTAGTTATAATACTGAAGAAGGTCATTAAGTATTAATTTAATAATAATAATGATCGTCATTCAATAATAATAAGTAAATGTTACTAAAAATTATAGTAGATACGATATTTTGGCAATAAAATTGAGATATTTTCGCAACACTTTTATCGCAAACCATAACTTAAGCCTATTACTTATTGACCAGACTGCGAGTTTATATATTTAAAACTAAAAGGATTGTTTGTTATATGAACTTGTCTTCAAGACAATTACGAGGAGTGGAGACAGTTAGGTGTTCCAGTAAGATTTAATACTAGAAGTGGCAGTAGTAGCTCGAAGTTTCCGCGAACGCATAATCGCGGCAAAATAAAGATATACACACGTACAAATCTTTCACAAATAAAATAACATAAAGATAAAATTTTTTATTTTATTTTTTTGTTTTTTTATATACAATCACGCCACGTTAACTGGTCCCGTGGTAATTTCGTAAAGAACTTGTGTTACAGGTACCAGATAACGGAAATAAATGTAATATTTTTATTATACACATACATATATTTAATATACATCCATAACCCTGGAAAAGACATTTATATTTATCATACAAATATCTTCCCTTGGCGGGATTCGAACCCGCGACCCCCTTGTGTAGTGACCATGTCACTTACCACTACACCAGACGGCCGTCTAAAAACATAAATAAACCATAAATAAAAAAATAAAACATAAATAAAATGAAACTTTAGTGGATAAAAGAAAACCTTGTATCCAATATAATTTCTCAACAGTAGTTACTAATACCAGTGGTCCTCTCCGGTAGTCGAAATACGACTATAATTAATTGAAATTATAATACACTATTCTATTGTCAAAGATTTACTTCTATAATCACAGATTTCGCTAAGACTACACTTTCGAAAAATATTAATAAAGGCAAACAATATATTCTCAATTTGACCACAGACTACAAACATGGTGCGCGTAGTGTGCGTAATGTTTTTTTATTGATTTAATATATTTTTTATGGATAATTTAAAAACAAAAATTTTAACATTCTGCACTCCTTCTCCATATTCTCTATAAGCGTGGGAAATTATAAACTTCTCCGTCCGCGCAATTTTCTTAAAACAAAACAAAGTTTTTGCTTCACGTATTAATATATAGATTTTCAATACTCATATCAACAAACCTTACCTTCTCAGTTTACGAATTATTTCCACAAATGAGTCGTCTATTATCAAAGGTGGCAATCTGTGCATTTGGACAAAAAATTGTTATTGATATGTCAATACAGATTGATTTGAATATAATCGTCTCCTTCAAAGAATACGATTCAAAACCTGCATTAAATAAAGGTTAATAGTTAACCTGTTATTTATCTAAGATGTCGTTCCGAAGAGTTTTGTGACTGCCAATGGAATGCAAAGTCAATAATTCGTTTTTCTGATTTACCAATATTGTTCAAAAGTCAGATTGCCGGCTTTGATAATAGACGACTCAAATGCTCTCCACTGTAATGTATTGCACGACACGCAACAATAAAGCACGTTTCCGGCCACCGTCTTAGGTGACCGACTGAGAAGACTAATTAACGTTGCGGCAACCTGATGCAATTATCGAATATTAGGTTAAGTACTCGACGTCCAGCCTCCCTGGTCGAGACGATGCACTTAAGTCCAGGTACAACTCAGTTGTCAAGGTTAAATTTGTAAATAAGTTAGAAGCTAGTTTATATTGCATCCGAGGCATAAATAACATAAAACTTTTTTTTTTAACGCTGGGGAATCCATTTAAGGATACCCGGTCGAGGGGGGTAAGAGACCGGGTTATGTCGGACTCCGGCGCCTCCAGAGAAGGACAGGGAGAAGAAGAAGACAGGGGTCCTCCTCTTCCTTCAATTCCTGCCGGGAGACTACGCCTTGAGAAAGGCGCGCCAGGCATTGCACGGCGTCTGCCACGCAAGAGCTACCCCGCAAAACCGACTACCGACTAAACCCCATCGAGCCCCACCACTCCGAATCCACGAAACCCACGGTACCGCAAAGTGCGCGCCGAAGGCTCGCCGTCGCCGGTACCCATCCTGATAATAGGACGGGACTCCATCCCCGGGAAAATTCCGCAGGACGTCGTCTCGGAGACACACCGTGAGCGGTGCACAGGAGCCACCTTGCGCCGCCTAAATAACATAATACTACAAACCTACTAAGTACCTATTCAATTTATTATTATTATTTTTATTTATTGCTTAGGTGAGTGGACAAGCTCACAGCCCACCTGGCGTTAAGTGGTTACTGGAGCCTATAGACATCTACATAATACATAAGTAATAATACATAAGTTCTAAGGTCTCAAGTATAGTTACAACGGCTGCCCCACCCTTCGAACCAAAACGCATTACTGCTTCGCGGCAGCGAAGGCAGGGTGGTGGCACCTACCCGCGCGGACTCACAAAAGGTCCAACCACCAGTAACTAATCGATATGAAATCGAAAAGAGGAATGTTCTCAATTCGGGGCATACGTTTTATAGGTATTTCATCATTCCAACTGACCTAAAGACGAAACGAACGAAGTCTAAAGAAGATTGTATTTTATAATAACACAAGACTAACAAACAACTAGAACTGGTGTAAACGGGTATGATGAAGAACTAAAAAAAGGCTTTATTCATACATTTGACCACAAAATTTGATTACAATGTATATTATAAACATAACTATGCAATTACTGAACCAGTGAGCAGTTCAGAATACATGTAAAATAAAACAAACCAAAAATTGACACGGCCGTGCTTCTGTTTTGATTTAGTATTTTGATCTTTATTTGGATGCCAAAGAGTTCAGAAGCAATTGTGCTCTTATGTGCGTTATTACAGTTTAACGTCGAAGTCCGGTGCAAAATATTACGCGAGTAAAGCAGTGGGACAGTGCGCGGATATGCGCTCGGCTGCCCAATGCCACTGTTGTCTAATTGTTTCCGATCTCCTCTGAATAACCACCGCGTTGTATTGACGAAATTCGAACACGTGAATAGCGATTGATAAAGGCTACGAATGCTCCGGTGACCTTTCACAGTATGTGAATGGTGTCATTGATTTGGAGCTAAATTTAAATTTCTCTAACTGAACACTATTCACACTCTGTTCTAGTTTGTTCTTTTGTAAACTATGAAGTCGTAATTTTTTTTTTTATTGCTTTGATGGATGGACGAGCTCACAGCCCACCTGGTGTTAAGTGGTTACTGGAGCCCATAGACATCTACAACGTAAATGCGCCACCCAAATTGTAACGTTCATATTTTTCCTAAAGTTCTTCAATTCAATAAGTAAAAGGATTTTTAGTGTCGTAGATGTTTGCCCATCTCACGTCAAGCTCACGGCCATACTATAATGAAGTACCTATGTAATTACTAGAGCGAAGCACATGTACGACATATCACGAAACATTATATTGCAATAAAATGAATTGGTCCGTTTATAATGTTAGTAGTTAGTACAAAAAAAATATTGTAATAATTACAGTTCTATTACTAACACACATCATATTTATTTTAAGTAAAGTACAAAAAAGGTTATTAAAAACTGAGAATACTTATTGTATTATAACCTAATCCGTTAATTTGTTAACACATGCTGAAAACGAATAAAATTATAATTCTTATATTTGCAAGCGGAAATCCTTTTGCTGAATTATGTCAATAATATTAAAAAATCAACAATCTTCAGAGCTCATTTACAAAAGTTACATTCTCTTTTTTCACAACACTTTATTTTGAAACATTAAAAAAAAGCCGAGTGAGGCTTACGAGCACTAGTTGGTTGGTTTGGTTGGTTTAAAATGGTTTAAAATGTGACGATAATTAGATCTACTATAAATTAATGGAACTCTTAGTGATCGGTTGAGCTTATTAGTCTAATTGTTTTGATTTTTAATTGGTGTACAAATTAGTTGAGTTTCATAAACATGATATTCAAAACAAGTTTCAAAACTAGTAAGCGGCTTCAATAAAATCGTCTCACATGATTCGAACTGTACCAATACAAAGCCAAGAGGCAATGTATAGGGTTTTTTTTCTTGTAAATATGCCTCTCAGATACTCAAATTTTGCCGTCAATAACGCAAAGCTTATCGACAACGTTTCACTGGGCTACAGATAAGACAAACTACTTAAGATAACAATTCCCGTGTGCGTCCTGGTTGTAAATTCGTTAGTCTATTGTTTTGTAATACTGACTACGGAACCATTTAAACGGCCGTCTGGTGTAGTGGTAAGTGACATGGTCACTACACAAGGGGGTCGCGGGTTCGAATCCCGCCAAGGGAAGATATTTGTATGATAAATATAAATGTCTTTCCAGGGTTATGGGTGTATATTAAAATATTATATGTATTTGTGTAATAAAAATCTTATATTTATTTCCGTTATCTGTTACCTGTAACACAAGTTCTTTACGAACTGAATACGGGACCAGTTATCGTGGCGTGATTGTTAGTAAAAATTAAAAAAAATAAAAATTTGGTACTCATTCGCCGTCCAGCCATTGCACTGACCAGTCTTCGAATGCATTATACGATAAACACAAGACTAAGACAAGACAAGACAAGACTGTCGAAAACTGTGGCATATGGAATGTCTCTTCTTCTAAATATAACATTTTAATAAGCTTTTAATCGCAATCGAAAACTGTGCGCTTTTCACGCCGATACAATGCCGACTACAGCGATATAAATATACCTACATTACTGTGGCATCGCATCGCTACCGGTCCAACCAACGTCTTTTGTAAGAACATCGTGTGCTGAAAATCAAACCCGCATAATTTACAAATCTGACCTTAAAACGTCCTGTAAACCCACAAGGGTAGGAACCACCATCTTGTCTAAAGACATGCGTTCATCGGAACATTTAGGCAGTATAAATACTGTAATGTATGTGTATATATATATATATAGGCTATCCTAACATAAAATCAACTATTTCAATATACATATGTTTTTTTTTTTTTTTTTTTGCTTTAATGGCTGGGCGAGCTCACAGCCCACCTGGTGTTAAGTGGTTACTGGAGCCCATAGACATCTACAACGTAAATGCGCCACCCACCTTGAGATATAAGTTNATTACTGGTGGTAGGACCTCTTGTGAGTCCGCACGGGTAGGTACCACCGCCCCGCCTATTTCTGCCGTGAAGCAGTAATGCGTTTCGGTTTGAAGGGTGGGGCAGCCGTTGTGACTATACTGAGACCTTAGAACTATATCTCAAGGTGTGTGGCGCATTTACGTTGTAGATGTCTATGGGCTCTAGTAACCACTTAACACCAGTTGGGCTGTGAGCTCGTCCACACACATAAGCAATAAAATATATATATATAGGCTATCCTAACATAAAATCAACTATTTCATTATACATATGTTGCCTCAACTTAATAACCGTAAAAATCTTTCTAAACAAAGGATTACATTGGTTCACAACGGTTTCTATGACTGATTCTGACTATTTATTATATGACAATGGGACATTACAGTGGATGGTTACCATGAACAGTCACGGTTGGTGTAGTCAGCGGTAAGCGGCGCCCGCGAACCGGAAGGGTGCGACCCGGAAGCGACCCCACGACCCGTGACATGCGCTCACGCATTCCAGTATTGTCGCTCACCCACTAAACACGCGCGATCATACACTGGTTTTCCAAATCAGTTGATATTCCGAAATAAATGTGGAACGATGTTTGAAACAACCGAAAATAGTTAAATTAACTAATAATACATATTTTATTTATTATATTATTTACAAACGTATACAAAATATCATATAACTTTTGTTACGATATGGACTACTCTATAAAGACAAAATAAACAGTTAAATGCATACAGTTTAGAAGGACGAAAAGCCGAGTTCAGTGTGAACGACCAATAAAACGGATTCACGGGCATGAAGAGCTACTTCGTCAATAGTATTAGCAGCGTAACGCTCAGCCGAAGAGTCCTCGAGTTCGCTCAATAAGTGTCGATTAAGTGGCAGCACTACCTCATCTCACCATTCGATTGAAAGGTAAGTGATTTAGAGTCGATTTACGCTTCGATAATACGGAGAGGCGAAAAAAATTTGTAAATGTAGCCGAGTGCTTTTTTTTTTTTGATTGCTTAGATGGTTGGACGAGCTCACAGCCCACCTGGTGTTAAGTGGTTACAGGAGCCCATAGACATCTACAACGTAGACGCGCCACCCACCTTGAGATACAAGTTCTAAAGTCTCAGTATAGTTACAACGGCTGCCCCACCCTTCAAGCCGAAACGCATTACTGTTTCACGACAGAAATAGGCAGGGCGGTGGTACCTACCCGCGCGGACTCACAAGTGGTCCTACCACCAGTAAAAAGTGTGTAGGCAGCGGCTTGGCTCTGCCCCTGGCATTGCTGAAGTCCATGGGCGAGGGTAACCACTCACCATCAGGTGGGCCGTATGCTCGTCTGCCTACAAGGGCAATAAAAAAAAAAAAGAACAGATTCAAATAATTGTCGTGACTAATACACAATTGTTATGGGTTTATATCGCGAATCGTCAGAAGCGCTTTCATGTGACAAAGCCGTAGTGGGTTATTCTTAGAGCTCTTTGATCTGTCTACAAAAAAACATCGTAAGTATTTTTCCTCTCAAAATGTTCACCTCAAAATTTTCCGCCGAATAACGCTTCTGGAGCTGCAAAGAGTGGCTAAACTGCGATAAATTCAATCTATCACTGTTAATGTGTACAAAATGGGTGTTCAACTATATAACATTAGATTCACATGAAAATCCATAGTAGATATTGTTACCGTAAATGCTTATAAATTTAGTTCACTTATCGATTTTTCTGTTACGGTTGAGACATTGACCTACAAAAATTAGCAAACAAAAAAACATACGGAAAAAGAGAAAAAATAAATCTGCTTCTTGCCAATTATTTTGTATGAAAATATATAATGCAGCAGAGATATTACATATAGATAGTACATGATGTATGTATTAGATGAATTCGTTTCACTACACCAGGAACGTGATTATTGTGATCGTTGTTAACGCATAATTACTTGTACACATGCTGGAAGTAATATGTAAAAGGTACCTCTCTAAGACGAGTCTCAACCCGTGCCCTTCGCCTGAAGGGATTGGTTCAGAGCCCTCGGCGTGTCACTACTCACACCAAAACAAACGAAATATCTATACGTCCTACGACTTGCTTGCTTTGGGGTGTAAAATTGAATTACTTCGGAAAACAAGTATTTTGGAAAATGCTTTTAGTGAACTCCCGAACTTGTATAGGTTGCGATGTGTGCTTAAGCGATAAATATAGCCAATAAATAATAGTTTAAAAAAACTATAATAACAAAATACGCTTTTATGGAAAATCCAACTATAAAAATAGAAAATAAATTTTAATAAATTTCAATTAAAAATAGTGTAAGAATGACTTTATTGTAAAAAAAGCGTGGGATGCTTTTCAGGATATTATCAAAATAACCCTTCTACTCATATCTGTTCATAAAATATTTATAACTACTGATACCATGCACCCCACGCTTTTTTGACAATATAATCATTTTTTCTTACACTATTTTTAATTCAAATTTATTAAAATTAATTTTCTATTTTTTAGTTGGATTTTCTATAAAAGAGTATTTAGTTAGTTTTTTTAAACAATTATTTATTTTTCATTTTTTAGTTGAATATCAATTTTTTCAATTATTATTTTTCAAATATCTTGAATATTGAATTGTCATCGGTCCTTAATAAGTATACCAAATTTCGAGTTAATCCGACCTTTTGAAGGGGGTCAAAATCATGTTCAAAGATTCCGTTACAAACATACGTCTGAAGCTAATAAAAGCGTATTAAAAATACATAACAATATGAATGGAGAAAAGGCATTTTTAATTATATCTGCTCGACAAAGCAGAAATGTTTCGTATTAAACTTATAACAATGTATAAAAATTCAGTTGAGACCTATCGAAAGGCTTGTTAAGCCGTAGTTAGCTAATCAATTCGACTATTCTCGGGGTAGTCTCTGCTGATCAAAGACGCGACGTCGCTCGCCCGGAAAATTGGCCGCGCCCGATGAATATTATTAAACTCTTCAATAGTTTCATGAACTTTATTCTAATTATGTAAACGTTCAGAACGTTCTCGGTACAAGCTCTTTTATTACCATAATGTTACTAATATGTTTTCATTTGACATGAATAGCTGAGTCCATTTACGACATATAAATTCATAAGTAATTTGGAATTCTCGAATTCAAAATATTGACGAATTAGGTTTTAATCGGAAATAATGAACTCGACAGTTTTCATAATAGTCTATTAAATTCATGAATGTATTTGGACGTCTTCAGCTCTAACACTAGGTGCAGGCTTAGGGACCCCGGTAACCGTACTCGTCGAGCTCGACAAAGAGTTCGACGTGCAACCTAACCCATGAATCAGCTCGCTGAGTTTCTCGCCCGATCTTTTCAGCGGGTCGCGATTTCGATCCGGTAGTAGATTCATTCGCGAAGAAGCTCTCTTAAGTTGTTAGTCCTTCGGAGGCGCTCGGGCAGCTGTTAGCAAATCCCACCCCTCCTGATTGAGCCTTTGCTCGCCCACCTGTCCTGGTGAAACTGGAAAAGCCTCCGGGCCACCAGTAATACTTCAATAATAAATAAAAATGTATTATAGTTAGTTAAACTACAAACTTCAATTTTAAAGACAGCCAGACAAACATTAATTATTAAAAGATAAAATTTACATTTTAACGCATACAAGTTTATATAATAGCCCAGTCACATACATACATATCTAGAAACCTTAATCCCGCGGCCCTGTGGCAGTGTAGCACATGCCACGCTTCGACGACCATATTTAGAGATATGTGACGATCCAACGAATGCCCAGTGAACCGGCAGAGGATGTGAGTTATTAAGTGGTACACTTTCAGGTGATCTGTCGAGTGAGAGAATCGCGCCCATCCAGCCCGCTGTTTGTTAAGCCCTTGCTCATATCTAACCGAGAATGGATAAATTAAAGGAATGTTTCGATATTTTTAGAATAGAAAGTATGCAAAAAAAGGATCAGAGATTACCGATTCATTTTTAAGGGAGTTACAAATTATTATAATTTCAATATTTGTAAATAAATGGTAAGGTTCAAAACAACACTTTAATCTATGTAAAAATAAAGTAAAAATAAATGAAGGTTCATTGTCTCCTCTCTCTATATCAAACAATTTCATTTCTTTTTGTTTAATAGCTGCTGACTTGTTTTTGAAATTATTTAATAATTTATGTAATTATATTTATATATAAGTTTGAGGAGACTATTAGCATACATATATGAATAATATATTCATTGAAAATATCTAGTACATATTTTCAAAATTTGACTAATAAACAAAAGAAAAAAATTTATACACTGACTAAATCTAAATCTTGAGGTGTCAGTGATTTCATTATGGTCGAATTTCAATCATTAGACGATACTTGTAAATTACAACATTACTATCATCCTCCGGTTCACTAAAATTAAGCGCCTAGTACCTGGGGGCTTTTAGCGGCAGGCAAAACCTTGGCTATGTCATTGCTGAGGTCCATGAGAGATTGTGACTACTTTTCATCATGAATATCGTAGTCTAGTTCAGGTCAACAAAAGCAACAAAAAAGGGTAATTATGAATAAGAGAAATTCAATATTTTTATTGTTAGATATATCTTAGCATAGCCATGGATTTTAGCAAGGTTTAAATTCCCAATAATTATTAAATACGTACAGCTATTTGTAGGAAAATCAATTTTGAAAATAATGAGAGTTCATGACAACGGTTGTTGATAAATAAATATTACAGATCAAAGAGAGCGCATTTTAAATAAAAAACATGTAAAAATAAATATATATAAAACGATCTTTATCAGTAAATCAGTTTAAACCCATTAAAAAATCAGATATGTTTCTACCATTCTCGTTAATATTCATAAAAAAAAACATCAATAAATTTACCGTATCCATTAATTCATACATTCATGTGTCGTCCCGTCCCACACGGTTCATCCATTTGTGACGTACCTCTGATGTTATTTATACCCTTAATTCCATATCAAACGTTTCAATAGCATTACACGGACACTACGCATAGATTTCTATTAATCCCACGAATTCGTGAAATAAACAAAAAAAATTCAAAAGGTCATTATTTATTTGTGAAGTGTAAATATTAGTCCTCATCGTTTTAATAAAATAACAAGTATATACCTAAATCAATTATATCAAAGGACCACTGTCTATTCCTGAATAAACAGGAAACAATAATTTTCTCATAGTTAAACCTCGGAATCGATGTATACTAAGTAATTCTAGACATCCTGTTTCCCTAATAGGCACTTAAAACTGTGCGGTATAGTTAGCGCGGGCACATTATAAAGTTGGGCTCGGTAAAATTAATTAGCCAGCGCCAGGAATACAAAGCTAATATGGTATATCGGAGGCTGCAACCGGAACTGGGCTCCGCTGCCTCCAGTAAATCAATATCCGTCGACCGCGCCTATCACTCGTTTGCTCTTATCATGAACATAATTCATCCAGCTATTAATGAGGTATATAATAAAATTTCTTGAATTGCAAAAATTATACTGAATAGTTAGAAGCGACCATATATCAGAATAATAAATGGACGGAAAACCAATTCAACATCAATTTATCATCAGCAATAGTGGTAGTAGTTATGTAGTAGTAGTATAGGTAGGTATAGGCGGTAGTATAGTTGAAAAATAGCCTAGAATGTTTAAAGTCCGCGACGTTCCTTTTACGATACATATGGACTTCGATAAGCGTATTAAATATAGAATAGAATATAGCGTAGATCAGAGCATACTTTATTGCATACCGAAACAGAAAAAAACAAATGCAGTGCAAACACTGAACGTCTAACCCACTGAGTTTCTCGTCGGATCTTCTCAGTGGGTCGCCATTTCGATCCGGTAGTAGATTCAGCGAAGCACTGCTCTTGCTAGGGCTAGTGTTAGCAGTCTCTCAGGTTGAGTCCGCG